ATATATATATACAGAAATGATCTAATGAGCACCGGTGCTCATATTATCCTAAGCACCAATGAGTTGGCACATTAATTCATTGGTGGATAAAGATTTTGTGAGTTCCAATCCACCAATGAATTAATGTGCCAACTCATTGGTGCTTAGGATAATATGAGCACCGGTGCTCATTAGATCATTTCTGTATATATATATATCCAAGAGTTGATAATTAAAGGTTTTGCAATTTATTGTATCTTATTCATACAATTAAATTGTTATAAAGATAGGTTTAAATTTATATTTTTACGATCTTATCAAAAATGTTAGAGATATGATAAACACTCGTGATATGTTAAATAAAGTAAATTAGATAGCATGTCTAGGCATTAATAGATTTTGTTTGTAAGACCGTAACGTACATTAAAAGTAGCTCGATGATAATTCTTTTATAATAAGGCTAGGAAAAACATATTCTCTTTATTACTTCATCAGGCACTACAATTGTCCCTGACCTCCATCACATTGCAATGTTATTCAAGAAACATATGCCATTATTAAAAGGAAACAAAAATATCCATCCAAAAAACTATTAAAACTTTGACATTATTCCATTTTTTTATTTTTTTTTTGAAGGGAACTTTGACATTATTCTGCAGTCCTCAGCAAATTGCTACTCAGTTTGCTGCAAAAAGAAATAGACAAATTAAAAATCAATAAATTAATGCCATTTTAATCAAATAATGTAAAAAAGATATTACACATTATATGACATGTTTGATACAGCAAATTAAACGGCATAATATTGGTAGAAAAATTAAAATATTTTTTATTATATTGTCGAATACGACAATATAATAAGAGCAAGGGGGAGAGATAACGAACCACCACAAGAGAGAGAAGGGAGGTTGCACAGTGCTGGAAGACGGGCTGCAATTCGGAGAGTATTGCAAATGCAGTCATTTTCCAGGCCTTGTAATGCAGTGCAGCAATCGGGGCTAGGGCTGGTGTTGGTTGCACCAGGCACCACAAATTGTGCACACACATTCAGATTTGCAAGTGAATTTGAACAAGTTTGTGTCTGAGATTGAGCCATTTGGTTCTGCAGAACCAATGCCATGAGCATCACCACTAGCCATTTGGGGCTTGAAAATACTGATTTTATTGCTGCCATAATAAGAATTTTGTGTTTTAGTAAGGGATTGTTGTGTTTTAGGGATTTCCACTCCAGCTATTTGTAGGTAACAAGTGGTAAACATTTGCATGACTTACCTAATTGATATTTGGCTCACAAGATTTGTGTTTTTGTTACACGAAAAATGTTTTCTTGCATCTTGAGTTTGAAGTAAATCGATAAAATGTTAGCATTTCTTATTTATTATACTCTATCGCCCATGTTTGGTAGGGATTAAAATCTAGTTCAAAGTAATATACTCTTATTTATCATCTTTATTTAGCTTTTAAACTAGCGATAATCATATCATACTTAAATTTGTAGACGAAAGTTAAAAGTCCTACTATAATGGTATTATACTTGAATTTAATTTTATTGTTTGTTTCAAAATATCCTATTATCAAAGAGAAAATAATCTAAATATATTAGGGAATAAAATATTTTGACTTTTATAGCATATTAATTAAGCAAAAAATTACTAAAATTTAATTTTAAAAAATATATTTAACTGTGTTGTTATTTTAAATTGCATTAAAAAAGTAATTTTTTTGTATTCATAAATAGCAATTCAATGAATTTTCTATTGATTTCTTTTAAAAGCTAGTAGATTCAAATGCTTGTAATATGAACACACATTAAAGGCCATCTAGGAAGGTTTTTTTCCCCCCTACCGATTTTGACCCTTTTTTTTGAATGGCACTGTTTATAAGAATTTCGGAAAATCAATGCTTGTTACTTTTTTTGGGGCTATGATTTTGGATAGTTTAAAAATAATTCAAAATTGATGTAGTATAATTTTGATCGACTTTCTCAATCCATCTAATTGTTGAGTTTTGATTGTTCTCAAATCCTCTTCCAGTATTATCCCTATAAAATAATTACTCCCAACTCAAATATTTTGTTTAAAATTAACTTGTGAATAAAAATACATTAACTAAGAAATTTATTTATAAGCAAAAAATTAATTTATAACTAAAAAATTACTCATAAAATAAAAATACATTTTTATATTAAAAAAAATGCTTATAAAGTAAAAATAGTACAAATAAGAAAAAAAATCGCTTATAAAATATAAAATTTACTTTTAAGTAAAAAATCACGTGTAAAAAATTTACTCGAGCTAGGTGTAAAGAAAAAAATTAACCGATGAGAATTCTGCCTCAGTGTGGTACAAGAGATTAGGTCATGTCTCAAACAGGAGAATTGAGAGACTTGTGTTTAACGAAATTCTCGATCCCCTTAACTATACAAATTATGACATGTGTGTTAACGGTATAAATGGAAAATAAACCAATAAAAGGAGATTTCAAACCAACGGGACTTTGAACTTCTTAGAACTTACACATACGGATATTTGTGGACCATTTCTTGGAATTGTCAACAATATTTTATAATATTCATAGATGACTTTTTAAGATATGGATATATATATATCTTATTCATGAAAAATCAAAATCGATGGATGTGTTCAAAAACTATAAAGTTGAAGTTGAGAACCAACTCGACAAAATGATTAAAAGCGTCTGATTTGACCGTGGTGGTGAATACCGGTTCAGGTGAACAACGTCCAAGATCATTTGCTAAATTCCTAGAAGAATGCGGTATCATCCCACAGTACACTATGTCGGGTTCACACAATATGAATGGTGTTGCCGAAAGACGAAATAAAATGCTTAAGGACATGGTGAGGAGTATGATTACTCATTCTACCTTGCCGAATCACTCTGGAGTGAAGCATTAAAGACCGCAGCGTATATACTCACCAAAGTTCCAACTAAGGCTACTGATAAAACCCCTTATGAGCTTTGGACGGGTAAAATGCCTAGTTTGAAGCACTTACACATTTGGGGATGTCCAGCTGAGGCAAGGCCCTATAGGCCAAATGAAAAGAAACTGGACGCAAGAACTATCAGTTGTTATTTTATTGGATATTCTGAAAGGTCCAGGGGTTACAAGTTTTATGATCCCACAACTAAGGCAATTTTCGAGACAGGAAATGCACGGTTCTTTGAGGATGTTGAGTTTGCGGGGGGAGAAAGGGTTACAGACTTTGTCTTTGATGAGGAATATGTTGAAATCCCTCTAATTGCCATTGACAATGATCGGGATCAGGTTTCTATTCCTGACATTGTTCAAGAAGCAACTCCGGATCAAGACAATGTCATTATATCTCCCTCTGAAAGTCAACAACTTGTTCCAGAAGAACAAACTCTACAGCCTCAAGAACTAATGCCATTAAGAAGGTCCACTAGAGAGAGGAGAAGTGCGGTTCCAGATGATTACATCGTATTTCTCCAAGAACATGAAGTTGACATTGGAGTGGTGGAAGATGATCCGATCAACTTCCGTCAAGCCATAGAAAGTTCTAACTCTCAAAAGTGGCTCGATGCCATGAATGAAGAGATAAAGTCCATGAAGGACAATGACGTATGGGACCTCGTTCCATTGCCTGAAGGTGCGAAACCCATTGGTTGCAAATGGATATTTAAGACCAAGAGGGATTCGAAAGGTAATGTGGAGAGGTATAAGGCTCGTCTTGTCGCAAAAGGCTTTACACAGAAAGAAGGCATCGATTATAAAGAGACTTTCTCTCCGGTTTCTTCGAAAGACTCTTTCAGGATTATAATGGCTTTGGTAGCGCATTTCGATCTTGAGTTACATCAGATGGATGTTAAAACAGCGTTTCTCAATGGTGACATTGATGAAACAATCTATATGGTACAACCAGAAAACTTTGTGTCGGATGATGCAAAGCAAATGGTTTGTAAACTAAAGAAATCCATCTATGGACTCAAACAGGCCTCTCGTCAATGGTATTACAAGTTTCATCAAGTGATCATCTCGTATGGTTTTGAGATGAATTTGGTAGATGACTGTATATACCACAAGTTCAGTGGGAGTAAGTATATTTTTCTGGTTTTATATGTGGATGACATATTGCTTGCCAGCAACGATATAGATTTACTGCACGAAACCAAGAGATTTCTAGCAAGGAATTTTGAGATGAAAGATCTTGGTGACGCCTCTTTTGTATTAGGAATTCAGATACACCGGGATCGTTCTCGGGGTATTCTAGGATTATCACAAAAGAGCTATATCGAAAAGGTACTTAAAAGATATGGCATGCAAGATTGTAAACCAGGTGACACCCCTGTGGCTAAAGGAGACAAGTTCAGTTTAAGTCAATGCCCCAAAAATGATTTGGAAATTAAAGAAATGCAGAAGATTCCCTATTCTTCAGCTGTAGGGAGTCTGATGTATGCTCAGGTTTGTACGCGTCCGGATATAGCGTACATTGTTGGGATGTTAGGGAGATATTTAAGTAACCCGGGAATGGATCATTGGAAAGCAGCCAAACGGGTCATGCGGTATTTACAGAGAACAAAGGACTACATGCTCACATACAGGAGATCGGATCAGTTGGAGATCATCGGTTATTCTGATTCCGATTTCGCGGGATGCCAAGATAGTAGGAGATCCACTTCAGGCTATATCTTCATGCTTGCTGGAGGTGCTATATCCTGGAAGAGTGCTAAGCAGACACTCATAGCTACTTCCACCATGGCAGCGGAGTTTGTAGCATGTTATGAGGCATCAAATCATGGAATATGGCTGCGAAATTTTGTCACTGGGCTGCGCATTGTGGATAATATAGAAAGACCACTCAAGTTATTTTGTGACAATAAATCAGCAGTACTGTATTCCAATAACAACAGGAGCTCGACGAAGTCAAAGCATATAGAGATCAAGTTCCTGGCTGTTAAAGAAAGAGTTCAGAGTGGACAGGTGTCAATAGAGCACATCGGGACAAACTCCATGGTTGCGGATCCGCTTACTAAGGGATTGATACCCAAGGTCTTTCGTGAGCATACTGCTCATATGGGTGTAATATCTCTTGAAGATATCTAGTTTCAGTGGGAGTTTGTATTTCTGTGTTTTTCATATTAGACACATATACTGTCATTTTGGATATGGTTTATGGTAAAAGTTATATTCGGTTATAAAGTTTTTTGGTTTATTATCTCTGAACTTATTTGAAATTGATCTCACTAAGGTGTTCAGGTGGACCAGTTGGAAAAATGCATGTTCAGATCACATCACATGTAATTTCCATGCAACACATTCATGCTTGATCCATGTCATTTAGTTATGTTGACATAGATGACCATTGATGGGTTTAGTTACGATAAGAGTAGCGAAAACCGCTTTGATCTTATGTTGATATGATTGATGGCCGGATTGTTTGAGGATGCATTCGGTAATGATAGCAAAATTTTGAATACTCATAAGGTTAAGTCTAATGCACAATTATAAGGTAACACATATAACCCAAGTGAGAGATCGTAAGAATTTTTAATCGATCATGTTTTGGTATCTTGAGTTTTAAAGCATCTAATTAAAGTGTGGGCCTTTGTATGTAGAGACAAGACTTGTTCCTAATTTCATAATGGGCCGAATTAGGTTAACAAGTCGTTAGTATATATATACGGTTATGGTTCCCGGATTATACGTGGATTGTTCATTATGTTTTGACTCCCATAATCAGAAAGAAATAAAGGAACAACGTGTTGATTTGGAAGATTAAAACCGCAGAATTCATTCATTGCATTAACCATGTCTGATTCAAGTACACTTCTGCTCCAATTTACAAATTCTTGGTGATCCAACATGATAGATCATTGTGATGGTAACACTTGGTTTTCCCAACATTATCAAGGTGACATTCGCCTACGAAATTTATCAATGAAAAATTTCCATCGGTATTAGCCATTACCAACGAAAATAAGGGCATAAGCGATGAAAGTTTTTGTCGTTGATGCCACATTTTTTATTAGTGAATGAATCAAAACAACTTAAATTTATTGGGAATAAGGTATAATTTGTCATTTTTATTCTTCTTTCGCTAATAATGTGTTGACTAGAAGTTGCATTTTCATTAACACATTTTGACAACAAACCCAAAATAGAGAGATAAACTACCTATCCTGGTTGTAGCGGGTACTGAAACGGCAAGAATTAGATCGCACGTTCTAAACTATGTCATCATTGCTTCACACCTACATCAAAGTCATTCATATAAATTTTAACAAACCAGACGAAGCCACTATAACTGAAAATACGATAAATGATTAAAAGGTTGAAGTATGTTTTAGGAACTTTACCAGCTCTGATATGCTCCGATCATTCTTTGTTCATAGATACTTCGAGCATGTTGATCTTAACGTCAACCGGGACTACATTCATCATCCAAACAAGGTTTTTAATCAGACTTGCAGCAAATCCACTAAGGAATGCATTCATATCTAGGAATTTCCAATGCCTTTCCACTTGTTAAAGTTTGTTATTAACTGGCCTTATTTTACTGAATAATCGAATTAATGAAATAAAATGTCATAAAATAATTCCTCAAAATTTAAAATTAAATGTATTTTTTTTTTAATTTCGAGAAACAATTTTTTAGAATGATAAATTAACAGCATTTTCAATAATCTAAAAACAAACCTTTAAAATAGAAAACTGGAAATGAGTTGAAAAATGAAATACAAATCAAATTGACCCTTATTTATATTGAATTTTTTTAAATACTTAATTCATTTTCTGAAATAAAATAAATAAATAAATGAATTAGCCTTTTTAATTTAAAAATCGCATAGTAAAAAAATGGGCTCTCTATCTCTCTCTCCCTGGAAAAAAATGAGTTTGAAATAGTGAACTTCTAGAGGATGTGAGATTAAAAAATAGGAAAAAGTTTTGAGTTTATTTACAAAATATTATATTGTGTGGATGAAAATAAATTTGAAAAAAAAAGGAATTTTAAAAAAATGGATAACAAAAAAGAATTTGTTATTCTTGTTATTTTTGTATAATTTTAAACTATTTTCATCATTTGAAAAATTCAAAGTTATTGGGTATTTCGTTGTAAAAATTAAATTTAATTATTTTGTGTAATTGGATAATTATTTCTCATGAGATCGACAATTCAAACTTGTTTGTCCACTTTATACTTGTACTTGATATGTGCGCTTACGGTATACAATTTTTAGCAAACAACATGTTGACATATTTTTTATAAATTTAGTGGCTAAATTCAATCACCTCAAAGTTCGATAAGCAATTGAAGACGATTTTCAATGTATAATGAGCAATCGAAAATATTTTTCAAAATTTAGTAAATAGTGAAAGACGTTTGTTATGTGACAATTTGGTAACGTGTCACCTGTGCATTCTGTCAGCTATATTACAAGTTTCATTAAAGGCTTAGAATGAATGTTATGTCAACAAATAATGTCTAACATTTAAATACATTTAGTGGTCAAAACACAATATTTTAAACTTCATCAAACAATCCAATACACGAACATGTTCAATAATTATTGGGACAATTAACTCCATTTTCTTCCTTATTTTTCCCTCGTGCTTCATTTGCGAGGAAGGACTAAAAAAGTTGCAGTTACAGAGAGAAAGAAAGAGGTGGAGGAAAAATCTAGAACCCATCTCACATTCTCACTGTCTTCATCGAAAGGTAATTTCTATCTCTACTTTTCCTGCAATTCAGATTGTTACTCGGGTTTTCTGGTTAAATTCTTGTTAATATAATAAATTATTTTCTACATAATATCTAAAAGAAATTCTCATTATGCATTAATAATTTTTATGATTTAATTGTGGGGTTCTTGGTTTTGTTAAATTTATCTATAGTGGGACGTTTAATGAGACATTCCCGGTATTTTTCGTTGTAATATCTGCTCAATTCATTGAAATCTTCTACTAAAAGTATTCAATTTAACGGAAATATATTGTTTGTGTCTACATCAGTTGATGAGAATAACCATACAAGTTATCTTTAATATTATAATTTATGCTTGAACAAAGACTTTGATTAGTCAAATAAGTAGGTCTAAATATTCATTCCCATAAGTTTATTCGTGCATATATATCCGTTTTCTATTATATTGCATTCTCACTTTAATGACGGAGATACTAAAAAAATGCCAATGTTCATAAGTTCCAACTTATCCTATAGTAAATTCCTACACAATTTCCTGCATTTCACAAGAAATTGTAATGTAAGATTCTAAAACTTTGAATTGTTTGGTAATTAGTTTTCAAGGTTAGGTGTGAGGTTAAACCACCGGCTTTGCACCAAGATACCGGGCTCAGTAACCTTCAATCGACACCACAATGAGAAAACCCAAACCAATAACCTTGACCAAAACCGGTTGCTCTAAGTTTCCTACCCACTAGATGGAACTGATGAATGGAGAATAAGAATAGCCACAGGTTTACCACAAAGGAGAAGAGGATGAAGTAGCACACAGCCACTTCAAGGAGCAAGAAGCACAAAGCCACAGCCACAGCCGATTTTTCTCTCTTCTATGGACTATCAAATAATTCTCACACTAATAGCAACAGTAATGGTCCTAGGAAATATATAGAATTAGGTATGAATTTAGGTCAAGTCCAATAAGGAATGGTAAGGCCCAAACAGGACAACAAGTGGGCTATCAACTTATAAGAGCCCTCCAAGTCTGGATTGGGCCATGAGCAGCCTAATTAATATTGGGCTGCTTCCAATGGCCCAACTAGGTTATATGGTTGATTTACCAAATTGTGGTGCCGATGTACTTTCAGTCATTTGGTCGATGCCGACTGAACTTAATCAAACTTACATCATTGCCCGGGGAGGTCGTTTGACAACAATTTGCCTAACATAAGGCATACTTTTCATAATTTTCCTTTCATTGTTGTCACTGTCATTAAATTTTTAAAAAGATTTTCATGTCCTAATAGGTAACTAAAGTTCCCATTTGGAGCTATTATTAGTCCAGTGATGGACTTCACGATTATCTGAAAGATTTATGAATTTTCTGATTTCAATGAATCCGACCCTTATAATCAGCTATTGTAAAGGTTGAGGATCATAATAAAAATTTAAGTGTCGTAAAATAATATAATAAGTTGCAGTCAAGATTATGTCATGCTCTTTATATGGGTGTGTATATGTCATTATATAATGTAAAATAATATGAAAATATCTTGTCATCTTTTCTTAGAAATATTGTATGCATTTACTAGTCTTAAACTGCTCGATTCATGGTCAAGTCTTTCACCCGCTACTTCTGAACTCTTTTTCTTTTCTTTTTTTTTCTTTCAGAAAATAAGGAATTTGGGGGCATTAAAGAAGAGAATTTGAATACATTTTTTTGTGAGGATGTCTGAAACATATACAATGAGGTGGTTCAACATTATTTGAGTTTTACAATTCCAGACGAAATTGCTAAAAATCTGAAAGAGATCTTTCCCGAGTTTGGCAATCTTGATGATGAAGAAGTCCTTCTGCAACAGGTATTCCAGAATTTATGCTGCTTTCTTTTTAAGATTATCTAAGGATAGTGTTAGATTGTCAAATTTGTTAAGGATAGTGTTGGATTATGGAGCCGGAAGAAAATTCCTGCATGGATGGAGGAAACAAAACCATCAACAATGGACTTTTTGGAGCTGAACTGCACCGTGCACATTTCCCATTGACCACGGGATCTCATGATGTATCATAGGGAGCAGTAGCCCTCTAGATGATTATTATTCTTTTAGGGGTGTATAAGTTCGCTAAAATATGCCAACCACATATAGAATTTATTAAGAGCCGGTTCTGGGTAGTGTGTATATATAGGTTGAGAGGTGCGGGATCACTATTGTAATTCTCCTTCTTCATTACAGTGAAAAGTGCTGCAGTGAGAGACATAGCTCTCACATTGAGAGTGAACTATTATAAATCTAATTGCTTGCTCGTGCGTGTTTATGATTCCGTTTTGTTAGGTCTTAATCAACGGCATAAACGATACATGCTTTCAGGATAGTCTGGTATTCTCTTTCTTTATTGTCAAGTAACTAATTGATAGTTTTCTGTTAAATGCCAGGAAAGTGCATACATGTATATTCAAGCCAATGGAAAGAACAAAATTACAACCTCTGCTTATGGTCAAACCAGTAACAGGAGTGAGTTTTCAACAGAAGCAGGGGAATCATCACATGGCACAAGCATTGAATCACAGTTGGCCCTTGATGAATCCCTTGCTAAGTCCTTGGAGTTGGGAGATGATTTAGACAATTTATATATTTCTGAGCACAGTGGCACTGCAGTTGGTAATTAATTCCCATAGTCTTTCTGCTTATATTCTAGTCAGGAGTTGATTTTAACAATAAATCTAAATTCTGCAATACGGACATTCTTTAATTGGTCAAAGCGCCAATTTTTGTTGTCTTTCTGTTTTGTAAAAGAAAATTTCTCTGCACATTTTGTTCTCCAAGATTGACTTATATTTGCTGAATAAGTGTGGGTTCTCTTGCTCCTCTAATGCTTAGATTGTATCCATTCTCATCATCGATTAAAAAAAAAACACTCCTAGGTTGTCAAATGTTATTGAATGCTAGAGGTTGAGAGTCGTAGCGCCTAATTAACATGAAAACTAAAGGCACAAAAAATATTAATATGAAAGATAAGAAAATGAATTATACCCATTTTCTTTGCCTCCTATATTCCCTTTTTACCAACAGTGCTAAATGTTTCTCATCCACCATTTCCTTTCCTCCTCTTTTCTACAATACCAAACCCATCCCCAGAAAAGCTCTTGTGCGGCATTCTGTTTTAATAGTAACGTAATACAGAAGAGACTCAAATTCAGATTTAAAGCAGAATGAGCCTAGGACACTAGTCCAGAAAATCCCAAGTTGAACCAGGATATAAATAGGAAGATATAATAGATTTTCATTTACTAAATGTTTCTTAAAGGTTAATGAAGGCAAATATAAAGACAAGAAGGCTTGCATTGTTAAACCAATATGCATACAACATTACATTCTTATCTGTTTTAAATTTCAATATTCCCATTGCCTTGTGGATTTCTTTTCATTTTCACTAAATACTGGTACTTTAAGTGACCTATATACTGATCGACAGAGAGCAGAGAATCAACTCCTAGGGAAACACCTGTCAGGGTACTTATTGTAAGTGTTATGCCCTAAATCCAATCAACTTTGGACATAAACACTTTGAATATATATAATCAATACATATATATGACAATATCTATTATTTAATTGAATTAATATTCTAATAAATTAAATAATAGAATCCGTAGATTCAAGTCTTGGTGATTTGTTAATCACAAGGAGTTGTGATTGTGAGATACAAATTACATATGACTGAATCTTAAATCGTCNATATCTAAAAGAAATTCTCATTATGCATTAATAATTTTTATGATTTAATCGTGGGGTTCTTGCTTTTGTTAAATCTATCTGTAGTGGAACATTTAATGAGACATTCCCGGTATTTTTCGTTGTAATATCTGCTCAATTCATTGAAATCTTCTACTAAAAGTATTCAATTTAACGGAAATATATTGTTTGTGTCTACATCAGTTGATGAGAATAACCATACAAGTTATCTTTAATATTATAATTTATGCTTGAACAAAGACTTTGATTAGTCAAATAAGTAGGTCTAAATATTCATTCCCATAAGTTTATTCATGCATATATATCTGTTTTCTATTATATTGCATTCTCACTTTAATGACGGAGATACTAAAAAAATGCCAATGTTCATAAGTTCCAACTTATCCTATAGTAAATTCCTACACAATTTCCTGCATTTCACAAGAAATTGTAATGTAAGATTCTAAAACTTTGAATTGTTTGGTAATTAGTTTTCGAGGTTAGGCATACTTTTCATGTCATTAAATTTTTAAAAAGATTTTCATGTCCTAATAGGTAACTAAAGGTCCCATTTGGAGCTATTATTAGTCCAGTGATGGACTTCACGATTATCTGAAAGATTTATGAATTTTCTGATTTCAATGAATCCGACCCTTATAATCAGCTATTGTAAAGGTTGAAGATCATAATAAAAATTTAAGTATCATAAAATAATATAATAATTTGCAGTCAAGATTATGTCATGCTCTTTAGATGGGTGTGTATATGTCTTTATATAATGTAAAAATAATATGAAAATATCTTGTCATCTTTTCTTAGAAATATCGTATGCATTTACTAGTCTTAAACTGCTCGATTCATGGTCAAGTCTTTCACCCGCTTCTTCTGAACTCTTTTTCTTTTCTTTTTTTTTTCAGAAAATTAGGAATTTGGGGGCATTAAAGAAGAGAATTTGTATACATTTTTTTGTGAGGATGTCTGAAACATATACAATGAGTAACAATGAGGTGGTTCAACATTATTTGAGTTTTACAATTCCAGATGAAATTGCTAAAAATCTGAAAGAGATCTTTCCCGAGTTTGGCAATCTTGATGATGAAGAAGTCCTTCTGCAACAGGTATTCCAGAATTTATGCTGCTTTCTTTTTAAGATTATCTAAGGATAGTGTTGGATTGTCAAATTTGTTAAGGATAGCGTTGGATTATGGAGCCGGAAGAAAATTCCTGCATGGATGGAGGAAACAAAACCGTCAACAATGGACTTTTTGGAGCTGAACTGCACCGTGCACATTTCCCATTGACCACGGGATCTCATGATGTATCATAGGGAGCAGTAGCCCTCGAGATGATTATTATTCTTTTAGGGGTGTATAAGTTCGCTAAAATATGCCAACCACATATAGAATTTATTAAGAGCCGGTTCTGGGTAGTGTGTATATATAGGTTGAGAGGCGCGGGATCACTATTGTAATTCTCCTTCTTCATTACAGTGAAAAGTGTGTTGCAGTGAGAGACATAAGAGTGAACTATTATAAATCTAATTGCTTGCTCGTGCGTGTTTATGATTCCGTTTTGTTAGGTCTTAATCAACGGCATAAACGATACATGCTTTCAGGATAGTCTGGTATTCTGTTTCTTTATTGTCAAGTAACTAATTGATAGTTTTCTGTTAAATACCAGGAAAGTGCATACATGTATATTCAAGCCAATGGAAAGAACAAAATTACAACCTCTGCTTATGGTCAAACCAGTAACAGGAGTGAGTTTTCACCAGAAGCAGGGGAATCATCACATGGCACAAGCATTGAATCACAGTTGGCCCTTGATGAAGCCCTTGCTAAGTCCTTGGAGTTGGGAGATGATTTTCACAATTTATATATTTCTGAGCACAGTGGCACTGCAGTTGGTAATTAAGGCCCATAGTCTTTCTGCTTATATTCTAGGCAGGAGTTGATTTTAACAATAAATCTAAATTCTGCAATACGGACATTCTTTAATTGGTCAAGGTTTGTTGTCTTTCTGTTTTGTAAAAGAAAACTTCTCTGCACATTTTGTTCTCCAAGATTGACTTATATTTGCTGTATAAGTATGGGTTCTCTTGCTCCTCTGATGCTTAGATTGTATCCATTCTCATCATCGATAAATAAAAAAAAAAACACTCCTAGGTTGTCTAGTGTTATTGAAGGCCAGAGGTTGAGAGTCGTAGCGCCTAATTAACATGAAAACTAAATGCACAAAAAATATTGATATGAAAGATAAGAAAATGATTAACCTTGGGATTTCTATTCCAATACATCAGCCTTTGTTCTGCACGAGGGATGAAATGAAATTTTTTTATACCCATGGGGAAAGAGACTTATTTTCTTCTCCCTTGTTTGGTGAGAAGTAGGGAAAACGGGAGGAATTAAGTTTTATACTGGGGTGATTTAAAATAATGGATGGGATGGATCATGAATTATACCCATTTTCTTTGCCTCCTATATTCCCTTCTTACCAACAGTGCTAAATGTTTCTCATCCACCATTTCCTTTGCTCCTCTTTTCTACAATACCAAACCCATCCCCAGAAAAGCTCTTGTGCTGCATTCTGTTTTAATAGTAACGTAATACAGAAGAGACTCAAATTCAGATTAAAAGCAGAATGAGCCTAGGACACTAGTCCAGAAAATCTCAAGTTTAACCAGGATGTAAATAGGAAGATATAATAGATTTTCATTTACTAAATGTTTCTTAAAGGTTAACGAAGGCAAATATAAAGACAAGAAGGCTTGCATAGTTAAACCAATATGCATACAACATTACATTCTTATCTGTTTTAAATTTCAATATTCCCATTGCCTTGTGGATTTCTTTTCATTTTCACTAAATAATGATACTGTAAGTGGCCTATATACCGATCTACAGAGAGCGGAGAATCAACTCCTAGGGAAACACCTGTCAGGGTACTTATAATACCTTGTCATGCTTTGTGCTCTGTACTTATCATTTCATGAGGTAATAAAACTCATGCTAAGTTATTATTTTTGTTTAAATGCAGACTGTGAATCAGAACATCAGAGATGATGAAATTGATACGGATAACATGACCTATGAGGTGAGTAGACTGCATAATAGGCATAAAAAAATATGCTTGACTCTTAAATTCTTTGCTTTAATGATTTCTGTTTCATGGAATTCGTTTTAATTTCTCCTACTTATTGTTGTGGTTATATATGTGCTTCAAACTGTGAGTGTGAAATAATAATAATGAATTGTTTTTCAATTCAATTCGATGGGGTTTGTGATAAACTATGAAATAACATAAATATTTGGTCATTTGAGCCAATTTACACAACATATTTAAGGACAAATTGGAAAAATTATTAAAGCCCATTAGTAGAAATATAAACACCACGTTCTTCTTGTGTGTATACGCAAGAATATGTCAAAGTGACTTGTGGCATGATTGGTGGGAGGTTTAGATCCCAATAAGGAAGAAAAGAACTTAAAATCTTGTTTATTATCCTCTCCAATTGTGTCTACGTACCAAGCACGCATTTAGAGTTCAGGATGCTCACTTAGAGCGGTAAGCAAAAACTGTCAAACCGAAAAGGCGAATCAAAATAATTGATGATACACATCAAAGAAATGGTTTTGAAGTAAACTGAATCCCCCTAAAACGGTTTAGTTTGATTTCGAAATTTTAACGACGGCTTGAAATCAAATTGGACCGGTTAAAAATAAAATTAGAAAACTTTAAATTTTTGCTAGAAATGTACTAATAAATTACAATCCTAACCTTCAAAATAAAATATAACCATTAAATTTTTAATTATGCTCCTTGTACATTCTTTCTTGACGTGATTGTTGACATGGTGTGTGGTGGCCAGTGTTGATTGGATGGAAAAACTGTCAAAAATTTGACTGTCCAATGGTGCACAATGTAAAGAAAGATATAAAAAATAATGTACATGTAGCATGATTGTTAAATTTTAATAAAAAATGAGCAATTTGGTCAATACTTCATTACGAAATACCAAAAATTAGTTAATTTCCTTAATTTCATAACCCCATTGTTGAGACATTTCTTTGATTTTGTTGGTATTAAATTTACATTTGATATTTATAGTTTTTTTATCGCCAATAAAATATTAAACTGTTTTATAATCATTTAACTAATGACGATAAAGTGAACATGAAGAAAAATATACAATCAAATCATGGTTTAAAATCGGACCACATCGTTAGGTTTAGATGTGTGAAAATCTTAAACCGTTTAAATGGTTTGGTTTANTTCAAAATGGTTTGGTTTAAGTTTGAGTTTTTCTCAAACCGTTTAAAACGGTTTGCTTTGAGAATCTATGAAAAATTGGCCAAACCGGACCATTTACACCCTGCCCAGACACTCTAAAGCCCTCACTGCAAACAAAGCCAAAGAAGAGGAATGAATAACATAGAGAAAATTGCACGCACAGAAACATCCCTCTTTGTTGTCTTTTCATTTTTACCTTCTCATTCCTGCTCCAAATGTATATATACCCATTGGTCTGTCTTTATGCTATTCGTATATGCATTCTTTTATGTTCTATCTGATTATCTCCTGTTTAATTGTGTTAGCAACTGCAATTACTAGGGGAAGCTGTTGGACATGAGAGCAAAGGACTTTCAGAAGATCTCATCTCACGATTGCCAAGTTTCAAATACAAAACTGGGTTGTTTTCAAAGAGAAGTAAAAAGGAAGTGTAGGAACCTATGACCAAAAATATCTGTTTGTTGAATATGTTGCATGTTTTAGTAAAATATATTTGTGCTATCACTAAAACACACATTCATTATTAGGACCCGTAAATAACTGACCTACGATCTATGATATATAATGTTCATGTTTATCATTGCGCATTACACGATATACTTATATTGACCTGATGGCGTACACATAGTATAATGTCGTCAAGCTAGTGTTATTAATATGTATGCTCAAATAGCATTAGAATAGGTAAGAAGTTGTGTTTTCAAGAAGACATGGATGAGTGGATTTAGGTTAACCCTAGTCAAAATGGGGTCTTTTATACAAGTTATTCGCCTACAACATAGTTTTAATTGATAAGACTAAGAGGGAATAAATCATAAATTAGAATTTTAGGTGAGCACTTTGTAATATGATTTTAGTTTGAGTAGATCTAAGCTGAAATACTTTATTCTTTAGTCAATAATAGTGGAGTCACAATAGAAAACAGTTCCTAAGAATGAATATCGATCAACTATTTTTATGGAACCGAGTATTGCTTGTTAAAGGACAAAATGCACATAAGATAAATGTTGCAGAATGTGGATATTAAGATGGATACGTGGCATATTAGAATCCACTCGTCATATTGTCTGGTTACTTTTCTTTTTCTTCAAGTTTTTTGATTTCCCGTTTGTATTTACATTTTGGGAAGAACATAATTCTTACATAATTGGTGGTGCACCTGTTAATGTCAAGCATCCAAGGATTTGTATCTCTTGCATCATCATTTTCTTTTTCTCTTCCTGATATTATGCCTCTTGCGTCACTCATAAAAAAAGGAAATTATGTTTTTATTCATTGCCTTTTTATCTTTATATCTTAGGTGTGTGATATGTCATGCTGAATATAGAAACGGGACTCGACTGACAACTTTACCTTGTACACACATATATCATTCAGAATGTATTCTTCGATGGTTGAAACTCAATAAGGTACGCATTGGTTATGTCTTTCATTCAAGGATTATGACCCACTCTAAATTATGCTGGTTGTGTTTGGCTAAGCTTAAAAATAAATTAAAGTTACCATAAAATAACTTAAATTGTTTCCATACATGTTTGGATAAGGTACCATTTTCTTACTCTTTTGATTAAAAAAAAAGGTTACTTTGAAAACAACTTCGTCTCATTGAAGTATAATTCTTCTATCTCTATCTCTCAGAATTGCCCCGTGTGTCGAGGAAGTACGGGATGAATAGTTTCAAAAATCTTCACTGGACAGAATGCTGCTAAAGTTTGTGCTGCTCGTGTATGTCGTCTTGGCAATGTGGGGATTTACTAATACTGGAATTTCATTGTTTTCCAGTTCCCAAATTCTACCGTGTAAGGAATTAGTCGTAATTTCCTAATTGTTCGTGTAGATAACTTCTTGACTTACTTTAAGCCATGAAGAAGGCAGTTTATATTACTGTGGTCTTGTCTAAGTTTGTCATGTAGATACAATTACTGCAGCACCAGCACATAAACTCTGTGCTAGCTGGAGCCTGTTGATTCGTGGTGGTCATTGCGAACTTAAAGACATGTTTGCTATGCACCAGAGACGGATTTAGGGCCCCCTTTTTTGTGTAAAAAAAATCTTGTAAATTTTTTTTTTTATGTGTAAATTAATTTTTTTCTATGTATTAGCCCAGCTTATAGTCTGTCCTTGGACTATGCACTAGTCGAAAAGATTGAACAGTATTTTTTTGTTTTTCATATGTGCAATTCATATTGACAGACGAGGTATATCGTTTGTATCAAAGTTGTAAGATGTTAATGAGCAACGAGCAAGGGTCCTCCTTTTTTTTAGACGACATTAATGTTGCCTTCAACTCAAAATAGAGAAGAATTCCTGTTTTTCAACTAGCACAAGGTCGACCATTTAGATAATTCGATAAGTTGCAATTTTTTAATAGTCTCCAAACTTTGGCGGAGGCATACCAAGATTAACTTGCACAATCATCTACACCAAAAGAACATGACAACTAAGTTGATGATTGCGAAGTCACTCGGTTTGAGGAAAGGACAAATGATAAGGCAACTTCATTAACGTTACACCCGGCTTGATTTAGTTTAAAAAGTTAATAAAAATTTAAGTTAAAAGTAAAAAATTAATTTTAATCATATTTTCATGGAATCAACTTTAATTAACTTCCAACCATATATTTCAATATTTTTTATTAAAATTTACTAAAAATCTGATTTTTAATTATTCCAAATAGAGGCTAGACGTGTTATGTGAATTGATTAAATGATGTCAACTCTTATTTAAATGTGAGTTAACCATGAATTAACTTTAGAACGAAAGGAAAGAAAAATGAAAGACTAACACATAGTCATATACATCGGCAAAATTCAACATTTTTAAGTAATAATGTTGAAAACTTGTGCACTAAGCTTTCCTCAAGGAAGAAGTTATATATAAAAAAATTAATTTATAAATACATAAGAAATGAAAAATGAAATTCTGACGATTTATAAATCCTTTTGTAAATTTTGTAAACAGAGAGGATAAATTTTATTTTTTGACATTATTAGATACACATAAGACTATTTTCATCTCGAGTTAAGCTTTTTGTACAAAATTGAATTACAAAATGATTAACAAAATATGTGTTGACAAGATCTGAACTAATGATTTCAAAAACCATTTTTAAAATCATTGGCATAAATCTTGCCAAACACGTTTTTGTCAATCAATTTGTAATCCAATTTCGTACACGGAGCCAGCGACGGACCCAACAGCTGGCCGAGGGAGCGACCGCGTGTGCTGGGCTACGCCAGAGCAGTTTGGGAGTTCACTTCGCTAGCGCTTGGTTCGTTTTCCTCATCCCATCTCCCCGTTCTTTTTTTTAAAAAAAAAATTGGGCCACTTTGGCCCAGTCCATCATCCTTTTTTTTTTTTATTAGGGAAGATTACATATTCAAGAGAATAAGTTCAGCCTATTTCAAAAATAAGAAAACAAGTTTGAAATTTTCAAAATCACATTTTTATTAAAAATTTTTAAATTTTTATTTATGAAATAAATTAATTTATTATTAAATATTTAATTATAATATAATATAATTAACCCATCCCACCTTCACCACCACTACCGCTCCGGCGACTTTCCGGTAAACTTTTCCGGTGACTTTTTTGACTCCAACAATTATTTATATTATTAATTAAATATAATGATGTTACAATTATACAATTAATGGTCACATATACATAAATAATTGGTCACAGATTTGAGGTCACAAGTCAAAAAAATTATAGGTCACGGATCAAAAATTTTATAGGTTACGGTTTATTTCGAGGTCACAAATCAGGTCACATATTATTTTTTTGGTCACGGATCAAAAAATTACAGGTCACAGTTATCTATCAGTCACATATTTTCAAATTTATTGGTCACATATTAATTTTTAGTCACAATTTTAAGGTCACGGTTAGATTTTTTTTATGACCACCCCCGTGACCACCACCAACTTCTGTGACCAAACCCGTGACCACCACCTCATCACTGCCACCAGTTAAAATTTAAAGTCACAGTTAGATTTTAGGGTCCCGTGACCAATCCCGACACCACACGCCTCCACTACCACCAGTCATTACCACCGTCGCCGCGACACTACAAAGCTCCACCTCCAACTCCACCGCCACCACCGCCAAAACAACACAGATCAACACATATACCCATAGATCGCCCACCTCCACTACGGCCAACCAAAAAATTTCTCAAACCTACAATCACATCCACAGCCGAAGCCGAAGCCGCAGCCGCACAACTACAATAGCAACTATCCATCGTCACCAGAACCACCTCCTAATAGCAAAACCAATATCGTAAGCACCGCAGCCAACTTCATCACCACCACCACCTCTCGACAACAAAGTCACAGCCACCCAAACACCACCACCACCCAAAAACCCACATCAGATCGCGGAGCTGCAGATCTCGGCCACGGCACGCAGTGGATCTCGACAACGGCGTGCGGCGAGGTTGATAGGCAATGAGTGCCTCTACGGGCAGGATGCGGAGCGAGGCACCGTTGCAGGTCGCGACACCTCGCCATCACTTGAACCAAATGCTGCTAGTTGTGTGCGGGCATGTCGGCGCCGTCATGAGCAGCGCTCGCCTCCGGTGGTCTGTGTGTGGATCGCCTTGCCGTGGTGGTTGTGTGAGGTCTGTGACGGAGGCGAGAGATATGGGGGCGTGGGAGAGAATTAGGTTAGGGATGTGTGGTAGATGAATTTAGTTTAGGTTAGGGATATTAATTTTATAAAAATATTAATTAAAATAAAATATCTGATTTTGGAAATGTGAAACTTCCAATCTGATTTTGGAAATGTTGATACATAAACTAGTGTTTTGTGTAATTTCCACTTTTTATTATTTTGTAATTGGATTGTGCTATTTGTTCTCGGTCCAATCCTTTATTATATAATATATAGCTCAACCTAAATCTCATTATCCCTTCATTCGAAATTGAAATCAATCCCCAAATTCCCAATTCTTCACCTTCTCCAATCTTTAGAGTCTTACCCGTCCCTGACGGAGTGCCGGTGGGTGAATTCGTCTACCACCACCAGTCCAGCCAACCCGTGGTCAGGCTGCAACCTTCCGTCACTCCGTCTCCGTTAGCAGACTCAGCCCCTATCATTTGGCGAAAACGTAAGTTTTGGATATTTGATATTGATTTTTTAATGGATTTGCAAAAATTGACTTTGTTCTATACAAATATTTCTATGTATTAAAAAGTGTATGAAGTTCTATCATCTTCTGTATTATTTTTTTAATTTATGGGTTAAAAAGTTGTTTTTAATTGAGTAGACTGTCAATTTTTAAGCTTTTATGAATTATTTTAGTCATGTCAATTGTCATATTCGATGTCAAATCATGAAATTTAAGTGCAATGAAATGCAAAAATTTCATGTTTGTTCGACTTCTTTGCTGATAGGCATACTTGGTTCTTCTGCCATTAATAAATATGGCGTCTTGTGTATTGATTTGAAATAAGAAATTAGTTGTATCATTGTCATAAATTTGAAATGAGATTGTATCATATAAGATTATGCGAAATTAGTTTAATGATTTATGTGTTGCACACTTGCACTATTGTTTGAAATTTTGAATTTTAATTTACGATCGCTGATTGTCGACATCGACCGATCAACGTCCGTCCAGCTTAAACTTAAATATTGGGTCTGTCCATGCACGTAGCATTGTTCTTTTCATCCCATCTCTCGTGTTTCCTCCCCCCTCCAATCAGAGGTCAGAAGTAATAAGCGAAACAACACGTGGAGGCAGGCCAGAAAAAGCACAACTCTAATGAAAAATTCAAAGATAAAAAGCTTCGTCATTATGCCCTTATTTGGCCCTCATTAAATTACATTACATTAAATTTTTCTCTCTTCATTTCAACCACACATTCATCAAATAAAATAATATTACACACAAATCAAAAAAATTTCAACCACACATTCTCCCATCAATCACTATTCTAAAAATTTTCAACCCCCAAAAATGCAAAATAATGGGGGTAGAAAAATTCAAAGATAAAAAGCTTCGTCATTATGCCCTTATTTGGCCCTCATTAAATTACATTACATTAAATTTTTCTCTCTTCATTTCAACCACACATTTATCAAATAAAATAATATTACACACAAATCAAAAAATTTCAAGCACACATTCTTCCATCAATCACTATTCTAAAAATTTTCAACCCTAAAAATACAAAATAATGGGGGCCAAACAGGGGCTATCCTTTGCGAATATCACATATAAAATATCCAGTCTAAATTGAACTAAGAGGGTGTTTGGTGAAAATTAAAATTAAATTTTTAGTGAATTGTGATATAAGTTTTTGAAATATATGGTTGAAAATATGTGAAACTCAGAAAAAATGTGATTAATATTGAATGTTTGTCTTTGATTTAGATTAAAACTATTTGACGAAGATTTTAGTATCATGTATAGTTTTTCAAGATTCTTCTTTTTCTGCTTGCCCATCCTTATCCAAATAAGCAGACACACCAAAAAAGCAGAGAATAAGAAAAGCTGTGGCCCTCGGTACCTGCCTGCCGCGATCATCATCATTATCGCCTCTTTCTCTCTCTATTTTCAGTATTCTGGGTCTCTCTCTTTTTTTGGATCAATTTTCTCGTGCAAAGGTGCGTATTTTCTCTTTACACCTGTCGTTTCCATCTGGGTTTTGAATATCGTGTTAACATTCAATTTTATATGAGAGTGAAATCTTATATGCGCGTGGAAATTATTTTGATGACAAGGTGTTTGTTGAAATGACATATCATTCTCTTCTTGATCTTACGCATTCTTGTTTTTGTTATTTAGGTTCAGGTTCAGGTTCGGATTGAGATTGAGATGCATATCTAATGGGTTATTTATGGTGTCAATTTTGATTAGGTTTAGGATCGAAGGCCGAGGTCAACGATCGTCTGAATTTCTGTGATCTGAAACTGAAATACAAATTGTAAAACAGTAACTCAGAATGGAGGCTGGTAGTGATTTTATAGAGTATCTTGGATCGGACATGTCTATAAAGATCCTCATGAGTTTAAATGACCATTCTGATCTTGTTCGCGTGAGTGCCGTCTCTAGCTCTTGGCGCCAATTTGGTGAGTTTATTTACCTCAATTAGTGCTCAGTTGCTATTAGATTATTGTGGATTTTGATTGGGATTACCAGAGAAAAATGGTATATTTTGTTATTGGTTTCATGTTCATTTGTAAATTTTTTTGTATTGATGCAACTTTATATAGCATTCAGTTTTGTTGGTTTTTTGCTAGATGGGATTACGTCTATGGCCTTTTAAGTTTCTCCATCTACAGGAGGGTTATTTGGTTATTCATGAACATAAAAAGAGAAAATTTATTACATGTGATATTGTCCAGCATGTTGCATTAGAGACCCTAACCATACTATGTGCTTATCGCTGACACTCACGTATTCCATATACGTCTTAAGTAGCCTTAGTATTCCTTGAATTTTTAAGGGGATCGTTTTATGAGAGACACAAACTGATGTGAGAGCACCGTTGTAACCTTCTTCTTCATCGTGAAATTTATAGCTGTGAGTGGAGTTATCTCTCACATTGAAGGTGAACTGCCGAAAATCTAATACTGTCGGGACTTTAATATGGCTTGAAGAATGAGTTGAATATGTATCTTAATGGCTATGATGATTGAATAGATGCATCAAAAAATATTGAATTCATTTTGATTGAGTATGCGACTCACGAGCATTTGCACGTGCAAGTGTGGAATATGTGCATAGCTGAAATTATTGCATGCATGAGATGATTTGAGAAATGAATTAATATTACAAAGATATCAAGGCATGCACAGCATCCTTGTGTGATATTTATTGGCATCGTGAATGGTGTTTGATTGTTTGTATTTTTGATTTCGTGTGACGTTGTACGGGGATTTACCATGCTATAGTAATAACTATAATGTCAAAAATAGTTGCAGTGATTGGTGAGTGCTTCTTAGCAAAATAGAGAGCAAAAAAACATTAGTTTTGTTAATCGAGTATATTAGGAAGTAAGGGCAGGAATCTTACTGGAGTATGGCAATGTAAAATTAATTAGAATAAGTGAGGCACCCTCAGTTAAACATCTTGTAACCATAATTATGTGTTGTTAGTTGTTACATTAGGTGTGTTTGAGCCACATTATTTTGGAAGAATAAGTGAGGCACACATAAGGGTGTGTTTGAACCTTATTATTTTGAAAGAATGTATTTTGGAATAGTAGATTGATGGAGAATCTGTGGTTGAAAAAGAAGGAAAAATTATTGATGTGATGGAAAATATTATTTTATTGGAGTATGTGAGGTTGAAAATAAGTTGAAAAATGAGAATGAAAATTTTAATGGGGCTCAAACGGGGGGCTAAGAAGTTGTCTTAACTATGCATGAGGAAGATGAGCATGTGGTTTTCTTGTTACTTGCCTCTTCTTTCCATGAGATGGAACCTAGGAGAATTACATCCTGTAAAGCTTTGTAATGCTTCATTTTTCTGACTTTAAAAACTTACGTGCAGTGATTGCTAATGGCCTGTGTAAGCAGTTTTGTATAAGGACATTTCCAAATGTATCAAGTTTTGCTAACATTGTCGAAGTTAAAAACACAATTGAACCTTTGGATTATGGGAATGAGGATTCTTCAGAATGGGCTTGTCTTGAGAGAGATCATAGGGTGTATGCATTTTTGACCCGAGGTCTTACCTCGTTCGCATGGAAAGATTGCATATCAGATGCTATAGTTGCATCCAGCACGGATAATTACCCTCAAGAAAGTATCGAGAATACTCTTGAACCAAGTGACAGGGTCAACCGCAGAGCTTCATACTGGTCAAGCAAGGGTGAATGTGATCCTGCAGTTCCCGAGACATTAACGTATAAATTGGCTGCAAGATTGTGTATGATAACTGAAATTCATGTTCAACCATTTCTAGGTCCGTGGAAACACCTAATATTTCTGCAGTGAAATAATTAATTTTCAGAACCACTATTTTACAATGTACTGACTACTGACCTGCAATTTGCACCAGCTTATTTTCAGTTTGGCTACCCCATATATTCTGCAAAGACTGTGAGATTCCGAATGGGGCATCCCAAGGAACTAATGGAGGTAGAAAGTGTTGACAGAGATGAATTTCCAGTACGTCGAGAATCTGCTGGTGACAAGTTTTTATGGACATATACTTCCCCGGAATTTCCAATGGCGAAAGTGAGTTCGTGTATGGGTTTTCTTCATATCTTTAGTTGCTGTCAGTGAAATATGGACATGATTGATACATTTCTTGGCAACTCTATCTTGATAACTATTTTGAGATTTATATGGAGAAACTGTGATAACTTTGCAAGAACTTGGATAATACTGCGGCCTTATTAGATCTTTATTAAATTTGGAATTCGTCTTTTGGTTTTATTGTTTATATACTGTTTTATTGTTTATATACCACGGTTGTATTGGTGAATATAGGAGAATCGCTTGCAAAAGTTTAAGCTTCCTGAACCAGTACTTTGCATTGGAGGAATCCTGCAAGTCGAGCTATTAGGCAGAGTTCAGACTCAACAAATGGATGGTTTATATTATATATGGTAAGTTTACTTATATCTGTTTGTTTTATGACAATTAATATATTTTGTTAACGAGAGCTGGAAATAAGTGAATTACTTATTTTGATATAAAGATAAGAGTTACTTTAAACCTAATTAACTTTTTTTATTTGAAGCAAGAAAAAGTAACTTATCTAAACATATTTGGAAACAAAGAGTTAACTTCTACCTTTAAGATTGGCCAAATATGCTAGCATCTGAAACCAGGAGTCTGTCAACAGCACTTGTTTTCTTGCAAAGTTGAAACACTAATATGGAATCTCACCTTAGAAAATCTAGATGGTAATATGCATTAGGTAGTTTCCAGCTTTGTTCAGGATTATCTGTTCCACTTGTAATGAGTTCCAGAACTATAAAGCCTTTTTGTCTTGGTTATTTTTCCATTTTTCAGCATCGGCCATGTTCAAGCTGTTGGAAGACCACAGCCTGCATTCGATATCAAAATGATGGATGAGTCTGGAAAATGCACGTTAGAGTATTATCCTGAAGCAGCGGCACATTGTTTGTCACTAGCTAAGCATCCTGAAATAGAGCCAAGAAGTCGTCCTCAATTTCACAGGTTTAATGCAAGCATAAGGGGTTGGGAGCAAATGATCCTCAACTCGCTACTGAGAGCCGGACCAATGGTCCTGGATGCTGACCCTGATTCAGATGACGAGTTCCTCGCATAGGTTTAGGTTCTCTCTATGGTTGGTGTTTTTTTTTTTGCCTTCCTGAGTACTATTGAGCATGGTAGCCGGATTGAATTGATTGGTCCGGCCAGCTGGCAACCTGGGCAAATGATTCTATATCCTCTGGCTGAGATTGTTAAACAGAAGTATTTACAATCTTCTTAGTACTGTATAGGTGTTTTTTCTTTTGTTTTGGAAAAGCTTTTATGACAATCAAAATCGGCTAACTGGTCATACATGGTTTTCAATCTAGCCCTTTGTTTGACAACCATATTTTTCTAACTCTTTTTTCTAGGTAATTATTTTTAATCATACTAAACACAATAAAATATTTTGTAAATAAATTCAATTATTTTTTTTTATTTTTTAATCAGATATTCTCCTAAAAATCACTATTTAAAAGTTTATTCTGGAGAAGTATAATTGTCAAACGGAGGGTTAATTTGATATGAATATATGTTTTTTCCTTTCTCGTTATTACTTTTTGCTGTTTTCCTACATGATTAATGAAGTAATAAAGTAAATTTGAGAAACAATCTGTATAAAAAAATTCACAAAAATGTTGATGGAGGTCCCAACAAATACGAAATGTCTTTTTGACTCTTTGCAAATATTTTAATTTCAGCTACTGTTTGATATAGCTTTTTAAAAATTCAATTTTCAATCTCGCATTTTTCAATAATATTAAATTTTACAAAATTTATTCTAAAAAATCGGTATCAAACAAGTTCTAATGTTTTGTTTTATAGAAATATTTTCCATAGAAAATGTCACATTCGAGGAAAACGAATTCCATTTTGAACATTTGATTGTAACGTAGAAATGAGAATCAAATTTTAAGGTACAATCACTTTAAACTGCATTTTTTTTATTTTCTTGAAAAATGAATTTCTATGGGTTTGGTGAATTTTTAATTTTCAACTAACATGAAATTGAATTTCTTTTCCACATTTGCCTAGCAAGCGGACTCTAAATTTATTTAGGAAACTAATATTTCTATACTATTTGTTTACGAGAAATTAAGAGCCTGTTTGTCTACCATTATTGGTAGAGAAATGGAGTAAGAAATAGTATTTTTTGGAGAATGTGTGGTTGAAATTTAAAGTAACTTTATTGGTTTGTGTGTGGAATATTTTATTGAGTGAATATGTGGTTGAGATTGTTTATTGTAGAAAACTAAGTTTGTAAAAATGGTAGACAAACAGGGCGTTAGTATGGATATCATATGTTTATAAAAATGGTAGACAAACAGGGGCTAAGTGGGCAAAACAAGGAAGTCAAACTGAGTTCCTCTTTGATCATCATTTTTTAAACTTTATTTTAAAAAAAAATTATTATCAACAAAATATTTTTTTCAATAAAATAATTTTGTACATAAATTCTTAATTTTTAATATTTTTTAATTACACGTTCTTATAAAAATTACTGTTCATAAATTTTCTTTTAAAAAATCTCTAGTTTTCATAAATAGGATCTCATCAATGATTCTTTCCATTTCACTTTACAAATAAGAATTATTTTTTCAAATATCAAAATGAAAATTCTAAAACAGAGGCTTAACCTCTGTTTGGGAGCCATAGTTTTCCCATTTCTAGAATTTTTTGTACCGTTATTTTCCATACACCTGGACCCCACCACACACAAAGGCAGTCAAACATGGTAGGTGCCCAGCTTGCAACGATAATATTTCTTCTACTTTTGGGAAGAAAATGGCTCCCAAACAAGGCGTAAGATGGTCTTTTATTTTAAGAATGAAATTTAATAGGCAAAAGCGAGGAATTTTTTTTTATTTTTTACAACGAATAAAAAAGAAAATAAGGAAGGTCGAAAGAGCTATTTGTAATTTTTTTTTTAAGAGAGAAGAATGATTAAAAAAGTGAGTCATAGAAATTTTATTTATTAAGGCTCCGTTTGGGAACCATTCTTTCTTCAAATAATACATTTTTTCTTTCACATGGGGTCCATGGCTGGAAAGAGACAAAAAATGTGTAATTTGACACAAAAAATGCATTTTTTTGTAGAAAAATGGTTACCAAACAGAATGTAGATATAAATTTTAAAATTATATTTTACAAAATAGAATAGAGGTAACTTGCTCGTGTTCGGTGAAAATTAAAATAGGTCCTTGTTTGTTGAGAATTAAAATTGAATTTTTAGTAAATTTTTTTTGATTAAAAAAATGATGAAATATGTGGTTGAAATATTTAAGACCCATGCATTACGTGGTAAAAATTGATTATTGACTTTGATTTAAATTTAAATTTTAATTTTAATCGGTATCAGAGCCAAAATTTTAAATTTTGATAAAAATTGATAAAACATGTCATTAAAATCTCGAACAGGGGCTTAATGTGAATTATTAGCTTAATTTTGAGGCATTATCTTAAATGAATAAATTCCTTGTAAGAAAGAAACCCCTAAAAACCCACATTTCATTTATAAACCTCTTTAAGCTATTTTACTCAACAAGCCGGTGGCGCCTGCCTCACATCTCGTTTCTTCATACCTCCGCCGCCACCTTCCTCATTCCCAATGGGCGACCCCTCCGCTGCCAAATCAAAGCCCGATTCCAATACGGCCCCGCCGGCTCACTCCAAAGACGAAGCTTATCTCCAAACAGTCATCCCCAAACGTCAATCCCTGTTTGAATCCATCCAAAGCCAGCAGAGAATCCAACGCCTCTCCCTGTCTCCCGATCCTATTCAGTAATCACAATTATCATATTGCCATCCAATTCACCTTCCTCTTTTTGGTTTTCTTTTTATTTTTTCTAATTTTTTTTTTATGAAAAATGTGATAGGATTGTGTTACCGGACGGGAAAGTGAAGGAGGGGAAGAAATGGAATACGACACCGTTTGATGTGGCCAAAGAAATTTCAAAGAGCTTGTCGTTAAATGCCTTGATTGCAAAGGTTGATGGGGTTTTGTGGGACATGCATAGGCCTTTGGAAGGTGACTGTAAGCTCGCGCTCTTCACTTTCGACAGTGATGAGGGCAGGGACACCTTTTGGCATTCCAGCGCACACATTCTTGGCCAGGTTCAATACACAAGCCTACTACTCCTTTTAGTTTCAGTGAAGTTTTGTCCATATTGAATTGAAATAATTGATTGTTTGTATGTTATTGCTGTTTTACAGTCTTTGGAAGTGACTTATGGATGCAGATTGTGTATTGGGCCGTGCACTACAAGAGGAGAGGTGAAAGCATCTTTATTCATTTTGTCGAATGTCAGCTAAATTGTAACCATTGGTATTTTTATGTGGGATCATATTGAGCTTGTAAAATTGGTGGGGGCGTTTGATTTTGATTGCCAGTAGGTTACTATTATAATCTGGTAGTAATGTTAATGGATATTGCACTCAAGTACACACTATTAGTTTAAAGTTTGTACTTCCAGGTTGAACGGAACAGGTTGCAAGGCAAAGTTAGGAAAATCTTATGACGTTGTTTTTCATTATTATGTAACAAAGTAAAGTGTGTGGGAAGCAAAAATATTGCACCAACTTGTATACTTGATATCTTTACATGTGAGTTTCGCAAATGTTGATTTAGCACTATATTGCAATATATTTTTTGGATTCCTTATTAAGTCTTGAATGGAAATCTTACAAGGGATTTTTGAAGTACAGGTAGAAAAATTAATTTCTTAGCAGTTTGGATGACGGGCTTTCTTTTGTGGAATTATCTAGTTCATGAAAAGTATAAATAGAATACCTGAAAAATGCTAATCTAAAATAATTTATATAATATTTTATTAATTTTCCTGGATTCCTTTGGGTAGTTGTAAAGTGTCTTATTTACTTTATTTTGATGGTTCTTTTTTTTGGTTATATATCAGAATCTTCTTATCCTATGCTAAATTAAACGTGGGCTAGGTTATAGATCTTTGCATACTGATATGCTTTCTTTTATAGTATCTATGTTTCATTTCACTGTTTCTGTACTTTTCAGTTAGGTTTTCTTGAGATACTGCTTCCATGTGAGTCCAAGTGTCCCATCAGCTTGTACTCAGATTAACTATTTCCACTTACTTTCTTTGTGCTGTTTCCCTATGGCTACATATTTGATGGAGTAGAACTTCCATTGGTATTGATTTCTGGTTCTCCATTTAGGGGGATGTGTCCAATTGGGTCTATCAACTTGAGCATTTCGTTCCGTTAACATCTTTGTGTTGGATCATATCATAATCAACTAGTAATTCGCTTGTTTTTATAAATTTAATTTACTCAATTTATGAATATTACCTTGATAAAAAATGAAGTTTTCACTGTACGCTGATTCACATGTCTTGTGAAGTTTAACTGGTAAAGTATTTGTATTTGAGCAGCTCTATATTCTAATTACTTTCAGGAAGTGTTCCCATTTTACTTAACTCATTATACAATCCCTTTTTCTTCAAATTTTCATGAATTGGTTGGATGACTGGCAGGGATTTTATTATGATGCATTTTATGGTGAACTGGGGTTGAACGATGACCACTTTAAACAAATTGAAGAAGCAGCAAAGAAAGCTGTTGACGTATGGCTCTTTCCTCATCTGAAATCACTCTAATAATTTTCCTGATTTGCACATTTTTAATCACATTGTTGCTGTTAGTGGTATTGACGTTACCTTTATATTCTTTTTTACTTTGGATGATTTGGAATTCAATTTTGACCCTTATCTTGTTTTTATTTATCACTAGTCAGAGTTAAACATGAATTGCAAGTTATTTTAAAATACTTTATAAGTGCTGTAAAAGTAATGTTTGATACCAATTTGTTGGTAAGATTTGACGAGTCTCAAACGAACTAGAGAAAATAAAATTTAAGATAAAAATTTGAGAGAAGAAAACTGTACTCTCAAAACTCAACTTCTATGATTCAATTTTTTTGTGATGATGAAATACTGATTTGCAACCTTTTTTATACAACATTTAGTACATAAAAATTAATTGCTATTACACGAATTTAAATTCCCATTAAAATTCCTAGATATATGAATAGAAATAAATTCATATGTAATAACTCTAGATTCATGTAGATCAAGATTCATCAAGTCACGATTCATTGATTTTAGATTAATGTGAATGTTAGTTAATTGAGAATTAATAACACGAAATTCCTACATAACAAAGATTATGTAGTATTTATTACATATTGAAAAACGAAAAGTAAGGTGTTATTGAAATAATTGAATTGTAGTAGGGTTAAAATCGTCCAAAAAATTATTCTCGCTTGATGTGATATTTAGCCCCTGTTTGACATACATTAAAATTTTCATTCTCATTCTTCTACCCATTTTCAACCACACATTCTTCAATAAAATAATATTTTCTATTACATCAATAACTTTTCCTTCTTTTTCAACCACACATTCCCCATCACATTAACAGTAAAAATGTATTCTTTTTTCCAAAATGTTCACCAAAGGGGGGCATAATATATGATTGAAAAGTTGATAAAAGTTATAGATTTAATTAAAATTTTCATTTTCATTCTTCTACTCATTTTCAACCACACATTCTTCATTAAAATAATATTTTCCATCACATCAATAACTTTTCCTTCTTTTTCAACCACACATTCTCCATCAATCTACTATTCCAAAATAATATCCATCAAACACACCCTTAATATATTATAGATTATAGATATAAATATTTTCACATAATTTCTTTACTCTTTTGTTTTATTCTTCGTATTTATTGTCTTAGAACATTATATGAAAGGAGGTACACTTGATTCTCTTTTGCTATCAAATTTTAATTTGTTTGCATTGGTATGGTGAATTGAAAAGGACCGTTTTCCTATGGATTCCTCAATTAAGTTAGACCTTTTAGGGGTCACGTTACTTGCTCTATCTCGTGTCTTTTAATGCATATCTGCATAATGTTTGTGATTCAGTTATCATCTAACAAAAATCTCATTTAGCTAATGGAATTGTCAACTTGCAATGATGGATTTTTATGTACTCACTGCATACATCTTATCATCCCTACCAGCTTTTCTCTACTTGTAAACAAAAGATTACATGTAACTGTTGTTCTTCCCTAGAGCTAAATTTCCATAAACATGGTTCCACAGTCTTGCATTTTCTTTGAATACTTTCATGCCAATATCATGTTTAATGCCCTTTTTGCCTCAGGAGAAACAACCTTTTGAGCGTATCGAAGTTACAAGGCAACAAGCTCTAGAAATGTTCTCTGATAATCAATTCAAGGTTGATATGTTTCCTCTTTTAATGAATTGTTCATCTTTTTTTTTTTTCGTTTTTCTTTCCTCGTTGTTATATTGCAACTTTTGATTTGTGTTCTTTCTGTTTTTTATAAGGTTGAAATTATTAATGATTTACCCGAAGACAAAACTATCACAGTATACAGATGCGGTCCTCTAGTTGATTTGTGTCGTGGACCACATATACCAAACACATCTTTTGCGAAAGCATTCAGTTGTTTGAAGGTGAGATCTAGCTCCTTTCATTGGAAATGTATATTTGCATGTATAGGATGTTAAGTTTATCTATTCTTGTGTTTGGTGAAATTAGGCTTCATCGGCCTATTGGCGTGGAAACAAAGACCGTGAAAGCTTGCAAAGAGTTTATGGCATATCTTACCCAGATCAAAAGCGTCTGAAGGTTACTTTCTGTCTTTATCCTTTTTTTGTTCTACTTGTTGTCAACTTGATTCCTTATTCTTACTCTCTTTGGTTCCTGTGAAAATTATTTTTGTCTGATAAGATTCCAACTGGAAGAATATAGACAAAATATAAGCAGATTTTTAGTGAATATGAGGAAGATTACAGCAAAAGTAAACAGATACAGAAGCCTGTAGAAGGCTGTAACTCTCAAACTAACTCCACTCTCTTACTCTCAATTTTTCCCTCCTTACTAAGCCGCCCTCCCCTCTTATTTATAGCTATTCCCTAACTACTTTTCTCCCCATTTCCCGTGTAACAGAATGCTGTTATTCCCCCCTTCTAGTTGCTTCTCAATCCTTCTTGTTTCTTCTAGAATAAGTGAGGTGGATGAAAGCCTATCATTACCCCGGTTTCCAAATCCACCTTGTCCTCAAGGTGTGAGTTAGGGAAGTGTTGGTAGTGCCAATTGCCTGCTCTTCCATCGTCACAGTTCTGGTAGGGAAGATTTCCGCCCCTTTTGAGGCCCACGGGTTTGGAGGTGTAGCTAGCATGGTGTATTTGGATCCACTTGGGTCTTGGGCTGCCTTACCCCCTTGATTTTTGTCTTCAATTAGTTGGGCCATCTTCATTATAGAGCCCAGCCCATTAATAAATGTGCTCTCCAAGACCTCTTCTAGAATACCCAACACTGGTGCGCTTCAAAATATCTCCTGAACTCATCCACATAACCTGTTTGTCGTATGTCCAGAAACTTTTTGCATAGACTTCCCTCTTGGGTTTGACGGAAATGAAGAAGCAACTGTCGCCAGAATTGCCCCCAAGTTTGAAATGGTGTCCTCGCCTCAGTCCATGGCAACCAAAAAGGGCATCTCCATTGAGGCTTACACCCACTGCTCCGAGCTTCTCTTTTTCTGTCAACCCATTCACTTGGCATCTCAAGCTTGTGAACATGCCTCCAGTCATTTTCACCTTGGTACTGATCAGTGGTTAGCTTTCCCTGTTCCTTCTACTTCCAGATTTTGTTTCGGTACTGCCTTGGAAAATGTCAGTGACGCCGCATCTTTGATCTTTCTGAATTGCCCCCAGTGATTGTTTCATCTTGGCTATACTCTGGGTTAAGTGCTCCACTGCTCTTTCCAGTCCAAGTAAGCACTGAAGTTCTGTTTTCAATTCCTTCAGCTTCTCCATAGCTTCTACTCTGATTTGATCGAACGTGTTCTTATACCACTTTGATAAGATTCCAACTGGAAGAATATAGACAGAATATGAATAAGCAGATTTTTAGTGAATATAAGGAAGATTACAACAAAAGTAAACAGATACAGAAGCTTATAGAAGGCTGTAACTGTCAAACTAACTCCACTCTCTGACTCTCAATGTTTGCCTCCTTAGCCTCCCTCTCCTCATAGTTATTCCCTAACTACTTTTCCCCTCATTTGCCATGTAACAGAATGATGTTATTCGTCCCTTCTTCTAGTTGCTTCTCAATCCTTCTTGTTTCTTCTAGAATAAGTGAGGTGGATGAAAGCCTATCATTGTCATTCTCCAAATATTGGTTTTCTAGATAATGAATCCAATCAATGGTTAATTTAGTGATGTAATGCTGCAAATTTATGTTTTAACAAATACGAATAGATTTGGTGGACGATGCAGTGATTTGTTTGGATGACCTAAGGATTGGAAGGCTTTCAGCTATTTCCTAGCTTCAAACTGCATCTTTTGTGTGCAACCTACATTTAGAAACTACAAGTTCCAAAGGTTTTTTTTTTTTATGGAATTGGTCAGATGTAATTCAGTATTTAATTAATTTTTCAAATAGTTCTTGTATTTGTAACCTTGAGGGGTTGCTCAATTGGTTAGGCCTTGGGTTTGCTCCCCAATGGTCACCAATTCGAATCCCTTCACGGCCACTGAGGAGAGTACCTGACCGTAAACTACAGGGCCCGTGGGATTAGTCGAGGTGAGCGAAAGTTGGGCTACTTAGAAGGTGCTATTTTATGACCTAGATGGTTACCCTGATGGGTTGCTCAATTGGTCAGGCCTTGAGTTTGCTCCCCAATGGTCACCAGTTCGAGTCCCCTCAGGGCCACTGAGGTGAGTACCTGACCGTAAACTTCAGGGCCCGTGGGATTAGTCGAGGTGAGCGCAAGTTGGGCTGGACATCCACGGTTATCAAAAAAAATAAAATAGTTTCTGTATTTCATTTTGGGACCATTTAGTTAGGCGGAAAGAGTTATGGCTAGAAATTGAAAGGTTGGCTTCAAATGCAATTTTCCCTCTTCTTTTTCCATGGAATTCACCTTTCTCTTCATTTCTGCTAACAATCTACATTAGACAACGCCCTGACAATATTATACTATGGTTCTACTTGGATGCCTTAGATACACAATAACTGTGTGCTTAATTCTCTTTGGCATTGAAGTTTGAGATCTGAAATTTTTTATGTCCTTGATGATTCCTCCTTTACTGGACATCATGTATGGGCTGGTCGGTTAAAATTGTATTTATCTCGGTTCATTCCCAAGTAGTTTATTAGTTATTGGCTTTGACCATGCTTCTTGATAATTTGTAATTGAATATATCTTTTTTTTGTTTATTAAGTTTTATTAAATTGCAATTAATTATACTGGAGCGCGTATTATCGTGCAGGAATACAAGGCCATGCTGGAAGAAGCAAAGAAATATGATCACAGAGAATTGACTAAGAAGCAAGAGCTCTTCTTTTTTCACCCACTTAGGTAAGAGTAGATGCTCGTTAGCCCATCATTTTTCTTGTCAAGATTGTTGATGATTTTCACTAGATATGTTTTGCATGCAATTTAGCCCAGGAAGTTGTTTCTTCCTTCCTCATGGTGCACGTGTTTGCAACAAGTTGTTAGAATTCATACGAAACCAGTACTGGAAAAGAGGCTATGAAGAGGCAAGTTAGCTTATTTCGCAAGATTGTATTCATGATACACGATGCTAGGGAAAAGACTTCATAATTATTACTAGATTTTTGCAGGTTTGGACTCCAAACATGTACAACATGCAGCTCTGGGAAACTTCTGGCCATGCTGCAAACTACAAGGAGAATATGTTTGTGTTTGAGGTTAATATTCTCCCTCGTGTCAAAATTGTGATGCTATTGTATGCAACGTATTTAATTGAAGGATAACTAGCTTTGATCTGAGATTTCCATGGGATAGATTTCTTATACTTTGTATGTGTTATCTTTATAATTAAATATTATTTCTGAATCAAACTTGCAACCTGGAAGAGCTTAATGGATAATATCAAAAATATATATTTCATTCTTTTCCCTTAATAAATAATGCAGCTAAATGCTGTTTTTAGAGAGTAACAATGTACTGATTGTGTCAGTTGCCAAGTTTAACAAAATCGTATTTCTGGATTCTATTGCAGGTTGAGAAACAAGAGTTTGGCCTCAAGCCCATGAATTGTCCTGGCCACTGTTTAATATTTGATCACAGAGTTCGTTCATATAGGGGTGAGTTTATTTTTATTGTTTCCTATATCTCTTTAATAGCATCTATGTACCTTTGTACTTCTTCAGTCGAAGCCACTATTCTGTTTCGAGTGATTTTTTTGTCCAACTTTTTCTTTAAATCTTTTGCGATTAATGTTATAACTTATATATGACATTGATTATTGTGGAGCAGCTATGATCGTAGTTTTCTCCAACGTAATATTTCACTTTTCGACTTTTGGCTGTCAATAGCCTATATACAAAGATTTACAAACACTGAAATACAGTTTGATTTTGCAGAACTTCCACTTCGCCTAGCTGATTTTGGAGTCTTGCATCGGAATGAGGCCAGTGGTGCACTTACTGGGTTGACTCGTGTCAGGAGATTCCAACAGGTCTATACTTTATCGAGATTCGAATAGGTGAAAGTGTAGACCAGAACTGCTTGTCACTTACAACTTTGCTGTTTGTACATAGTCTTTGATGAAAAAGCAATCAACTGCATTAGGTGCTACAAATTGCCATTTTGTAGTTATGTTCTGTCTCGTTGCTGTTGGTTTCCTTGGGCCTCTAGATTTTAAAGCCTTGTAGTTTCAAGGATTTGGCTGGATCTATCTAAGGAAAACATTTTGGTCTAGTAGTTTCCACATTTCATGTCAATCAAGTTTTCTTATGTGGCTGGTGTATGCTACTTTTTTCTAACCCAATGGTTTTGTAACAGGATGATGCTCATATCTTTTGCAGGGAATCCCAGGTGAGATAAGATTTCTGATATGCAGCTTGCAGTTTGTAATTCAAAAAGGCAGGTTTGACCCATTCTATCATTTTACAGATAAAAGATGAAGTCAAGGGCGTCCTAGAATTCATCAGTTTTGTGTATAAGATATTTGGGTTCACTTTTGACCTGAAGTTATCTACGGTATGGATTTTTGGTTGCTCATTCTCGAATTCTGTTAGAACAAATTGATGTTAAGCACATGTTGATATTTAATGGATTATTGCTTTGCCCGTGCCTCTATACCCGCTCAAGTACTTGTCCCTCTTCTTTTTTACCTTCTGAAAGTACTCACGTCGCATAGAATTAAGCATACGGTTCCAACCATCTTTCATAGTGAGAGTAGAGAAAAATTGTAGTCAAAAGAAGTGAAGTAACATGGTTTAAGTGTTGCAGAGACCGGAAAAATATCTCGGAGATTTAGATACTTGGAAAAAGGCTGAAGATGCTCTTGCAAAAGCATTGGATGAATTCGGGAAGCCCTGGGAGGTTAGTGAATAATATCATATATGATATGAATCCATTCTCATTGCATAATATACTTCGTTTATGAATTATTGAGGAAATGTTTTGTCACATTAGCTAGCCCAATTTATTTTTATTTTGGTTATTAAAAATGTGTTATGGTGTCTTTGTATTTTTTACTTACTTTCAGATCTGCCATCCATGTTATTAGATAAATGAAGGTGATGGAGCGTTTTATGGGCCAAAAATAGACATTAGTGTTTCTGATGCAATGAGAAGAAAATTTCAGTGTGCGACATTGCAGGTTGGTTTGTTACTTTGCAATCATGGATTATACGACAAAATTTCCAGTTTTCCTGAAATCATGAAATTTACTTATAAATACTTATTTTACAGCTGGACTTTCAACTCCCTGCTCGTTTTAACTTATCTTACTCAGCAGAAGATGAGAGCAAGATGGAACGGCCTGTTATGATACACAGAGCCATTCTTGGTTCTGTTGAACGAATGTTCGCTATACTTTTAGAGCACTACAAGGGCAAATGGCCTTTCTGGCTTAGTCCGCGCCAGGCAATTGTTTGCCCTGTTTCTGACAAGTCTCAGTCATATGCACTGGAGGTGGTTTAAGTTCAAGTGCTTATTGCCCTTCTCTATAGACTTACTTCTGATTTGATTATTAATTTTTCATTCCTATGATTTTCTACTCTACTAAGGTCCCATGGATAACACTCAATATATGCCTTTTTTCTCTTTTCATTCTCTCCTCAAGTTAGTTGTTCGCCTATACATATTTCGCTTTCTTTCTCCAGACCCATGTGATGGTGATGTAATATGGTTTAAAGTTTTTTAAAATCAACGATGCATACTTTGACTCCAGTTATAGTGACTCTTGTCCTGCTTGATAATGCAAACCCTTTAGTCTTGAACATAAATATATTATATGAGCAATTGTAGTCAAAATTACGTTTCAATTAGCAAGCAAATTCTGAATGAGTTACAAAGTTGATTCTGCAGTATCCTCTGATTGCAGATAAATCAACTTCTATTGAAATCATGAAATGTGAAATTTGTCACTACTTATCATCACATTGATGGAAAGATATGTCCTAAAGCATGGCGTAAACTACATATTACTGGTTTTATCATCCTTTAAATTCATGTCATGAATGTTTTTGGTCTTAATGGATTACTTCCTGAAATCGCCAAAATTCTTGTCTTGTTGAATGTAGGTAAGAAACCACATTCATGATGCTGGTTTCTATGTTGATGTTGATACAAGTGACAGAACAATCCAGAAAAAGGTGTGTTTAGAGCTAATCCCTCAAATCTTGATTTGCTACAGTCTGCTCTGATGTTCTGTTCTAGGAAAGAATAAATCTCATGAAATTATCAATATTATATTTATCTCTTTTTCCTCCTAAACATGCTTGTTTATGGTTTAGCAATCATTTGTGGTGGGCACCTATGGAAATTTTTTATCCCAAGTTTCCCTGCATAATTGTTGTGACTGCGGACCCTATATGATTTTTTCACGTTCCATTACTGTGTTTTTATTGACCAAAATTTGAAAGAACTATTATTATTTTCTCTGCCCATGTTGACAGCATAATACATTGAGAAGGATGGACGGAGGGAATAGAGATCTCATAACAATTTTACACAGACCGCTAAAATTTACATAATTCCTCATTTTCAAGTTTATACAGCTCATGCTAGGGTCCTGGAGGAAAACGTTGTTAGACCAGATGAGAGAATAGTATTCATTTAACTTTCCATCAGATAACTATATTAAAGCATTTCCGAGCTACAGGTCAGGGACTCAGGGTTGGGGGTTGGGGATTCTTGGGAGTAATAATATTCGGTGAAGCTGGAAAAATGAACTCGCAGACCTGTTAAAGAAATTTGCCTGTTGCTCCAGATGCGTATGTAGAATATTTATTTTTAGGAAGTTTCTCGTGTAAGATTTCGTTGTGTGCCAACTTGTGCCATGGATACTTGTAGGTACGAGAAGCTCAATTGGCACAGTACAATTATATATTGGTGGTTGGTGAAGAGGAGGCGAACACTGGACAGGTTAGAATCTGCCATTATGTATTATATTAAAAAACATCAGATTATTTAGTAGCTTTTTATTTCTTTATCTGAAAGGCAGGGGTGTCCCAGTTGAATTCTCATTTGTGGAAATCTTTAGATGATTTCGTCTATATTTATGTGTGCAACATTTATTGCTTTGTTGCCTTGATTTTGACCTCGTAACCTTTATCCACCAATTAATTGTTCCTTGTATTGATAAGCGGTGACAGGCTACAAATTATCCTTTATCTCGACGAGTGTCGACTATTGTAAATTGACATTGCTGGGATAACAAAAAATAGAAATGCAATAATTTGTTGTGACATCATTAGTTATAAGAATAAAATGATAAATGGTTCTATTAGAAAAATTTTGAATTTGTCATGGTGAACCTCTTCTTGTACTGAATTATATGCACAATTTTATATTGGAGTTGATCTCTCTTTATTTTCGACAATTTTTTATACTCTGTACCTTTTCTTAAAATTATATATTACTAGGTAAGTGTTCGGGTGAGAGATAAGGCCAATCACGCTGTGAAGAGCATCGAGAGCCTCCTCAGAGACTTTAAGGAAGAAGTTGCTGATTTTCGTTAGCAGTCTCTATCTAATTGGAAAAACTAGCTGACGAGTGAGTTGAACGGCCATTTGTTTCTTTAGAAACAAAAAATGAATGCCATGTATACAAATACTTTTTATTTTTCATTATCAAGGCTTGGTCCGTTGTGTACGTGCATTTTGGATATGCGTGTTAATTACATATTTGTTTCCTTATCCCTCCAGTTCATATTTTTTTCTATTTAATTTGTGAAAATGTATAATAATGGAAGCCAAGGAATCCAAAAAAAATTAAATTCAATTACCAAAATACAATAAGAAACGGATTGATTTCAAGGAATAGAGATAATGAAGTCATACAAAGTTGAGTGTGTAGTAGTTTATATCCTTTGATTACATTTGCCAGAAGCTATTGAAAATAAACAAACAGAAATAAAATCTATATGAATATTTTGGTTAGACAGTACACTGGTTAGTGCCATGACAAACTCCATAACTTAGCAGGACAAAATGACGATGATATAAAGGAAAACAATGACAAACTGTACAAAGATTGATGCCCTCATAATAGAGCTTATAACGGGACAAATTGTGGAAGTCATGCTTTCAAGCTATAGTTCATTTCATCAAGATCACTGTCAAAGAACCCATTCCCTGTGAATTCATGGACAATGTCGTCTACTATTTCACCTGATAAAGGTAAATCTGATTCTTTTTGGCTGAATCCATTATTACCACCTCCAGCAGAAGATTCAATGTGCGAAGCAGTTTTGAAACTATTACTTCTGCATGGAGTAGGTCCAACGACATTTCCTGGTCCATTTGCAGCTGAAGCAGTTGCACCAGAAATGGTGTTTCTAAATCCAGGTCCATTCCCCGGTACACTGCTGCCTGCACCTTGCATAGAGATGGGTTGCTGTAAAACCCGACTCCCACTATCGTTATTGCTCATATGCTGTATATATTGCTGGATCATTTGTTGTTGTAAAGCTTGGCTGCCTTGGGAAGGTTGAGGTTGATTTTGCTGCAGTAAGCCATTACCACTGGATGCACGTCGCTGTTGATGCTGCTGTAGTACATGAGAATTAGAGAAGCCACAGACTAATAAATTCTGTAAATTTCCTGGCAAATTACCGGAGGATGAGCCTCGAAAGGGAGAATTGGGAACTAGGTTAGAATTATTGAGAGAAGAGGATGCTTCGTGCTGAAGAGAATTGCAGTTTGAGTTCATTGAGTTTTGTCGCATCAACATATTTTGGTAGTTTGTCAATGCAAGAGCAATCTGCGCTGATCCAGTCAAAGGTTTTCGACCAACCATATGCTGGTCATTGTTCATTTGAGTATTGATTCCAGGATGCAATGCCATTAGTTTATTGAGCATGTCACGATCAGTAGGCAGACCCTGAAGACCTCCCATCTGCTCCACATCTTGCATTTTTTGCATCTGAATTTTGGCTGCAGTGGTGTGCCGCGGAAAATCCTTCAAGCCTTCTGAAAATGGAAGACGGAATGAGCATTGTATGGTCATCTAGGCATACTTAAATACACTTGAAATAGAGAAATCAGGTTTACAAAGATGACATTTGCAAACAAAAAAAAATAAAAATAAAACAAATATTTCCACACATGGATAGTTGCAATCCATTGTGAAGTCTCATCAATGATCTCCCAACATACGTGAATGTGGAGGAGTGTGTACAGAATTGTATATTGGCTAGTTCGGTAATGTGGACTATATGATAACTAAACAATATTAAGGCAGAAAAAACAAAGCTAAAATAGTGTGGAGTGACTGGAGTCACGTCCAGTACTCTGTACCAAACATGCTCTTTGAGAGTGAAAATAGGGAAAACATATTACCAATTGGTCCGACTTTTTGTTCCCTGCAGAAATTCATCAGGTCTTTCATGCTATTTATAACCTCAGCTATCTGTTCAAAGCAAACAAATACAAGAGACCTGGTAAGGAACCTTCAGCGACAGGTCTGCAGAAGTAAAAGGTTCATTAGAAAGTAATAGACATACCTGTAGGCATCGCACGTATCTTTTGGAAAATCCAAAATCATTAACTGATTGTAACTCCAAACTCCTAGCAAGTTGACGTCCAGCTGTTACAACCCTGAAACATGATATACATCCATATAATACATCAGAACGGCATACAAAGGCTACTAGTCTAAGATGCACCAATATGGACAAACATGTCCGATGCGATTTTTTGAAAAGCATCGACACCGACATGCCGCTGACATGTTGATTAAAATTATTTATTTATTTTTTAATTTTATAGCGTAAAGAATTATTGTATAAAAAACAATCAGTCAAATATAAATCAAACACATGATTGAAAATAAGAAACTACTTTAAAAAAAATGTTGACCTATTTTTTATTTTAAAACAACATAAATTTTCTGCTAAGGGTTTGGCTTTCAACTTTAAAGCGCCGTCTTCATCTATGTGAAAATAATGCTTAGGATTTGGTTGTCTCCCTCTCCATCTCTCTTTTCCAGTGCACTCTCTTCCACTTCACTCGCCAGCGATGGTCTTTTTTCATGCACTTGTTCACGAATGTGTGGGATATGGAAAAAATAAACTAAAGAGGGACACATGCAAAGTCACATTTCCAAGACGTTTTGGAACATGTCCGGCGCTTTTATGTGTTGGACACCAACACGTCCACTCCAGCAATGAGTCAGTGCAACATAGCTACTAGTCTATGTAGCAGAATGATTTTATTGGGCTGACTTTATAAAAATTGACGTTCAGCATTATATTTTAAGATGTTTTCATTGTTCTTCTCAACAAACATATAAGGACAACTCAAGAAGATAGACAGGCTTTTCCATGTCTCTTTCCTACAAATAAGTTATAAGTTAACAGGCAAGATGCAGCTACAGGACATGTAAATATTCATCACCTGTAGTTGCCCTTCAAGCATCAGTTGGCAATATAATTAAAATATGAGTTTAAGAAAAATCCAATTTAAAAAAGAGTAAATATTAAAATAACCATCATTTCTAGCTACACTATAAGCTTGGAGCCAATTAAAAATATCAGCTCTTATAACCATGGATGAGGCATCTAAGATATAAATACTCTTTGTCTACTTCTAGAACTTAATGCTTTACTATCAAATTAGTAATGACTTGCATTGGAATTACAACATAAAAGCATCATATGCAATAAAACTAATCATTTACACGGTACGCAACCTTCCAAGAAGAACATCTACAATCATGATACACTTCAAAATCCAGTTCAAAGATCTGACACCCCAACTCGTAAAGATCTAAGAATGCCATCTTTACCAACCAAGAATCATGAAGTGGTCAAATACATCAACAAATGATATTTCCCCTTTTATAGATAAGGATTAATAGACTAGATTTCAGTGGAGGTAAAAAGTTGAAGAAAAGAAGAAATTCACTCACATAACGCTGTTTGCCTGTAAATCCTGGGGAGAAATCCCATCAGGACCACTTTCATTGGTTGAGCCTTGGCATTTCTGAGCAACTTGCAATAATTGGTTTACCTGTGGAAGACATCTGTTTATGAGTTCCACCTTCAAAATGTAATGCTGCATATCTAAACACACAACTTTGAAGCTAGATGGTGCTTAAGAGTCCATATTTGGTGCTGTAGATCCTATCTCTCTTATCTCAGAGAGTAAAAAAAGAAAAAGACAGGCACTTTGATTAAAATTGAGATATGAATTTAATACATTGCCCAGAAGCGTCAGCAATGTTACTAGCAATCCTAACTGGAAAGTCTACTATTATGTCCCATTCAAATTCCACCACAAACTTAGAACATCATAACATTTTGGGGAAGTTCAACTTTGACATCTACATTGTGATATCTATCCCTGGTTAGTACAATTCATTAGTTTTGAAGGTTACAAAATAATATTTATTATACAGTAACAAAGACAAATATGTTATACAGTATACATGGAGAAGCCATGCTAACATAGTAAGGCAGGATTCCATTTGACCAGTGCAAAGTCGAGTTCCAAATTATTCTCCATTTAATACAATGAAACAAGAAATGAACATATTAACAGCGTTACTAAACAAAAGTAAGAAACTGATGCAATTCGAAAAGAATGAAAATCTTAACTCCTATAAAAACGGTGCCTAAAACTGGACTAATATCAGACAAAATAGTTCAATTCGATTGAGATTGTAATTTGACTTCTCCGTGATTGTGTGACTAATAAACGATCAAATTTAAGAGCTAAGCACATCAAACGTTGTACAATATTTACCTGTGGTGCAATCCATCTACGAGGAAGAAGTTCTTCATGGCGCCGTGCACAAAATTCCCAAGACAATATCTGAAAATGATATGGAACAGATGTGGTAAAAATTATGAAAAGCAAATGAAACATACCCAAGTCAATTTTACTTCCAGTCTACCTTTAAATCGGGAGCAAAAATAATACGAAGCTGACCCTCGTGAACAACACGAAGTTGCTCATATATACTTTCTTGAACTGCCTTTTCATACTCCACCATCATCATTCCTGAAGGAAATCTACATTCACGGGGCAACTCCAAGAACAAGATCTCATCGATGACACCACTGCTAAATTTGATTTCATTTAGTCTGGGGAGTACTTCAAATGTTGCCTCTGTTGACCCCCAGCAAGAGAAATGGGTTAGAAAATATAACATGAAGCCTGACGTTCAATAAATATTTGGCATGACATGAATGAAGCTTCAACCAATTCTGCAGTAATCTCAATTCAGAGCCCTAAGCATCACTTGTGACATTATGCATATACTTCAGTATATTTAGCAGTAAAGAGAAAAGAAATTGGCAGTTATAATCTAGATGAAGAAAAATAACACATAAAATACTTTTAGTAATGCTGTACTTCGTTTAGACACCCATTCCCCAATAAATTAAAATAACAAAAAACATGAATAAACTGTAACAAAAATGATAACAGTAGAAGCAAAAGAGACAGGTGGAATAATTAACCATATAGTACAAAGTAAGCAAGAAATAGATACGTTGACAATTTGATTGTTGGAAGCAGTGGTGTAGAAGGAAAGGGAGCTCGTAAATTAAAGAGGCAGATTGGAGTTGGAAGATGGCAGGGGCAGTTTGGAGATAGAAAGTGACAAGGGAGAGATAGGGGTGTAACTTTCTCAAGACTTCATTTCAGTCTTTCAAGAGATTTAATTTGATACTTTTCAATTTTTCACAACTATCGCAACTCATACTTTAACCTCCTGAGAAGCCTTTTGAGGTCCCTAGCTGAGATTATAACATCAGTTCAACGCCAGATAACTAGATCTTCACATTGAATTGCTGATGATACAAAAGAATTTCATAGAAACCCTTAAAACCACTGTACCCACAAATATGTTTTATAGGTTAAACAATAATGACAAATTACAGAAATGACCATGGAAAAAAAACATAATGGCATATCTAGTTCAAATTCATAGTAACATCTTACCAAAAACACAATATAATTGACATTTATGGGCAATGAAGGAGAAGAAATCAAATATAGAGAACTGGAAAACACAACTCACCAAGTCCCCTCCCAGATTTTGAACGGCAGATGCCACATTGCCATGCATCCTGTAGCAAAAAGGAACAAATACAAGATGCCTGATTAGAAAACTTCTAAGAAATACCAACCAGGGGCATATTGGAAGGAGGGAGAGAGGCTGATGACGGGGACAATTCATAAATGAGAGGAAAATTGAAGGCGAGCAATTAGTTATATTTTGTTGTCCTTGTGTATCCATATCAACTGAAACTTCAAGTCAACTATAATTGATTCAGCAATATAATCAACCATCCAAAGATTTACCATTGCTGCCTGGGGGAATACCCCGAGCGAATGATGGCCAACGTTATCATGCAAGGAAAGACACCACCTCTTCTTTGCACGTGGAGAGTAATATTCCGCCACAAACTTCTTCCAATAAGCATAAGTGTTGTCCTGGCAAGATAGAAATACATTAAAACACAATATAGGGGAGACAAATTTCAATCTCAATAATTGGAATTGGGGGAAAAATATAAAAACAATACTACTAAACATATATCAATTGTAAGATGTGGTTTGGGTAAAAGAAAATAATCCCGCTAAACATATATCATATGTAAGATGTGTGTGGGCAAAAGATAATTGATAGAGGGGAGAAACAAGTTGTATCATGTGGTTCCAAACTGCCAATATTAAGTTACTCACCGCAGGCCGCTGTCTCTTATGAAACAAGTATTGCATTAGCCGGCGTGAGCATACACTGCTGTCATTGGGACGCTTCACAGTAGATGCAGGCTGCAATCCCTGTTGTTGAAGCTGCTGCCTTAACTGCAACTGCTGCTGCTGCTGTTGCTGTTGCTGTTGCTGTTGCTGCTGCTGCTGCTGCAACTGAGCCCGCTGCATTGGTGTCATAGACTGTAGAAGCTGTTGTTGCTGTTGCCTTAGTCTGTGCTGCTGAATCAGAGCTTGCAGCTGAGGATTGGGGTTCTGTAAGTTCATGGGATATTGTCTCTGGAGCAGCTGCTGCAGAACCTGCTGTTGTGAAATATCTTCCTGCTTGATATCCAATCGGGGTTTCTTTCGCAGCTGAGACATATTGGTAGGATCTTGAATGAAGGCACTAGGTACCCTTGGACCACCAGGAAGCTGAACTTGTCCCATCCGTGAAGTAGGCAAAGATGTGGCACTTGAAGCTCCCTGATGCTGCTGCCTTTGCTGGACTTGTTGAGAGCTTGGATCTTGATGTGAGCTTTGCTGCACAACAGAGGATCCATCCATAACAGACGAACCAGAGATGCTAATGTTGTTAGATGAGAAGGACATGGGAGACGCAGGCAAGCGCATGTAAGATTCTGTATTAATGCTAGCACTTCTCTGCAGATGACGACCTCCTGACAGTCCTGAATTGGCATCTGTGACCAAAGAACTTGCCCCGGGACTTGGCCCTGAGCTTGCTGCACTGTTCAAGACTATATTACTAACATCTCCAGAAACCAAACCCATATTAGCAAAAGCATTCTCTGGTATTAAATTAGAAGAGTTCCCAAAACTCAACTGGGGGTTACCCTGGACCTGATATTGCCCGTCTCCTAGGAAAAATATTCCAGAACTCGAAGAAGAATTTGTCATACCTCCATCCACCCGAGAAAGCACCATAGGAAGCACTGTTGCCTGGGATTCAACCATCTATTTAGTTTTATAAAACACTTCACAGGCCAAGCTAGATACAAAGTCTAATATTAGGAAAAACTTAACTTCGTCTGAACACCTAAGAGCATCTCCAACAATGTTCTTTATTTTAAAGATCATACTTTTTTAGCGCAAAGAGCATCTTAAAGAATTTTTGAAAATAAAGATTACATATTTATAAAATTCCAACAATATCCTTCATATTTATTCTTTATTTTGCTTTTTTCCACAAGAAATTATGACATAACACTTTTTTTTCTCTTTTTCTACTTTACTTTCATCTCTTATATGTTATCATTTCCGTTCATGTTTCTTTATATTATAAACTAAAAAGAAGTGCATGGAAAGTTAAAAATTATTATATGAAAGCATTAAAAGTGTAATATGGCGGGTGAGTTTGGTTCTCCACATATGGGGGGAGTCAAATCCACTCTTCATTTTATATTTTAAATACAAAGCGCTTGTTGGAACCCTCAAGAAGAAGATTGACTCTCTACGACATAGAAAATTAAATTAAGCCAACAAAGACCCTATTGGAGATGCTCAAATATCGATCCATTAAAAAAAAACTAGCAGCTTCGTGTTCTCACATAAATCAAGCGTTTATAAGCTCAAAAAAGACCATCAAAAAAATTTCCAAGATTCTAGAGAGAGAGAAGAAAAAACAGAAACGCAAAACTCAGCAGGTAAGAAATCAAGAAAACAAACCTAGCATGGACAAGATTCACAGAAGAACCAAATCCAGCACGAATTGATACTTCAAACTATCAAGAAGATACAAAAACAACCTCATTGTAACGGTAACATCAAAATATACAAAATCCCTTATTATCTTCAAGAAACCCTATATTCCACTGAGATTAAAATCCACACAATAAAACCCAAATCTTTGCTAACAATGAGCTGAAAATAAGACAAATATCGTTCAATTAGAACCCGTAAATTGAAATAAAACCTATTAATTTAGCAAATAATAACTAAATCACAACCATTCAAGATAAATTCAAGAAGTTTGCAAGAAGTTTGAACCCCCCACTCTAATTTTTTTTTTTTTCCATTTTATTTCGGGGACTTGTATTAAATTGTAATGTGTCTTTATAAAGTAAATCGATTCTTGATTAATCCACGTCACTTCTGCTTCTATAAGTTTCCTCATCAAAAGTTCTAGATCAACAGTACAGAAATTCAGTAACCTCTTCTATTCAACACCTAACATTTACAATTACTAAAAATCGAAAATTCATCCACGAACTAATTAAAATCAAGAAGTACACCAGGGAATCAAAGTTTTATGCTTCAACAAATTATAAAAAAAAAGTAGAAAATTAATAAAAATTTTGAATACGATAATTTAATTGAAATTGATATAAGAAAGTAGCGTACTGAAATTCGAACCTGGAATTGCTGGGAGAATTTTGCTTTTTCTGTCCTGATCGGATTTAGATTTATATACCTAGCGGAAATTGGAGAAAGGCGTGACAGGCTACAGCCGGTGACTGGGTTATCGGCAGTGGTAGGAGCACTGAGTCGTACGGTGTCAGCGGGAGGTCGTCACATTTGAAATACGCAATCATACAATGCTGTTTATCATCTAGATGTCATTGACACAATGACACATGCCAATTCATCGTTCCTCACGTCTCTTTCCTTCATTTTTTCATAAAAATTAAATTATCAAATCACATTATTCCACATGAACTATCACATCATCGATATTCCATCATCATAATGATAAATAGTGATGTGCCCAAAATCTTTATCATGTCCCTGACCTCGAGCTGTGAGGCCGAGTGTGTACGTTGAATGGAAGAGCCCTTGTGCTTGACTAATACCCTTTACGAACAGCAATCCTACTTTGACCGTAACTCCTCATTTTTTTTATCTCAATACAAATTGCTAACTTACTACAATTTTGACTTTAACTCAAACTGTACACTCATAACATGACGCAAACACCTTACGTGATAAGGACTGCAAGTAGTTGGATCCTTTCAGGACTCTATCTCTAACATCTATAAATACAACTTTAAACCTCATTATTCAGGTATGTTTTTCACATTCAATTCATAATTTTACACTTGTTTTTCTCCTTTCGCTAACTTAAGCATCGGACGGGCAACGAGGACACACATCGATACCTTTGTTTCAGGTGCCGAAGATTCCGCTCGTGATCATCCTCAATCATCAAGCTAGAGAATCAACTAGTGACGATTTTTGGTAACATTATTGGCGCCGTCTGTAGGAATCGGTGAGGTTAACCACAGAGAAATCACGTGATGGAAGTCGATCAAATAATTTTCTAAAAAATATGAGGAAGATGACAGGAATGATCAGTTTGATATTTCTGCCAACGTCAATTTTCGCCAGACTTGATGTTTTGTTCATCACTGAACTTGGAAAAAAAGACAAATCAAAATTTGGAAGAGCAGTAATTGGTTGATTTGGAGGCTCACCTAATAAACATATGCAGACCCTAATTTTGTCATGAGAAGAGGAAGTTGAAAAAACTATCCAAAAAAAATTGTTCAGGGAGGAGCAACTGGAGAAGATGATGGCATCTCTCGGGTGTCAACTACCGCTTGTTCCTGTGGAAGCGGCCGATGATGATGATGATGATAAAATTGTTGGTGAAGGATCTGATAATGCTAAGCTTGATATGCATACAGGAATCAAGGCAAGCATGTGTCCATAGGTGGATGAGAAATCAGGTGAACCTTAGCTTATGTTTTTTCTCATTATTGAAGGCGAGCTTTAGCTCGTGGTTTTCTCATTCTTGAAGGCGAGGCCTAGTTCGTGGTTTTCTCATTATTTAATGCAAGCCTTAGCTCTGTTTTTCTTATTATCGAAGGAGAGCTTTAGCTCGTGATTTTCTTATTATTGAAGATGAGCTTTAGCTTGTGATTTTCTTATTGAAGATGAGCTTTAGTTCGTGGTTTTCTCATTATTTAATGCAAGCCTTAGCTCTATTTTTCTTATTATCGAAGGAGAGCTTTAGCTCGTGATTTTCTTATTATTGAAGATGAGTTTTAGCTTGTGATTTTCTTATTGAAGGCGAGCTTTAGTTCGTGGTTTTCTTATTCTTGAAGGCGAGCCTTAGCTCGTGGCTTTCTCATTATTGAAGGCAAGTTTTAGCTCGTGATTTTATTATTCTTGAAGGGGAGTTTTAGCTCGCGGTTTTTGGCGAGTCTTAGCTCGTGGATTTCTTATTATCAGAAGCAAGTCTTGCCCCGTGCAAAGCAACTTCAACAAGTCTTGTCCCCGAGCAAGCAACTTTAACAAGTCTTGCCCCGTGTAAGCAACTTCAAAAGCCTTGTCCCAAACACATCCATCTTGCATAAGGTCGTGATCCCCGCAAGCAGCTAGTACAAAAATCTAACATAAGGTTGTACTCCGCGCATGCGGCTAGTACACTTATCTATTGTAGGGCCTCGAGCTATTTGTCTCGAGCTACTTGCCTGAAAATATGACCAAGTACACAGCTCGAGCTCTACCAACAAAGTCTCGAACTACTTGCCTGAAAATATGGCCAAGTACACAGCTCGAGCTGTACCAACAAAGTCTCGAGCTACTTGCCTGAAAGTATGGCCAAGTACACAGCTCGAGCTCTACCAACAAAGTCTCGGGCTACTTGCCTGAAAGTATGGCCAAGTACACAGCTCGAGCTCTACCAACGAAGTCTCGGGCTACTTGCCGAAAGTATGGCCAAGTACACAGCTCAAGCTCTACCAACAAAGTCTCGAGCTACTTGCTTGAAAATATGGCCAAGTATACAACTCGAGCTCCACTTATTAAAAATGACAAATTTCATAAGAACTCAAGCACCTCATTGCATCTCATCTCGCAGCTCGAGCACATGACTATCGGCTGCGACCTGGATGCACTGGGGCTTGTGATGTGCCCAAAATCTTTATCATGTCCCTGACCTCGAGCTGTGAGGTCGGGTGTGTACGTTGAATGGAAGAGCCCTTGTGCTTAACTAATACCCTCTACGAACAACAATCCTACTTTGACCGTAACTCCTCATGTTTTCTATCTCAATACGAATTGCTAACTTACTACAATTTTGACTTTAACTCAAACTGTACACTTATAACATAACGCAAACACCTTACGTGATAAAGACTGCAGGTAGTTGGATCCTTTCAGGACTCCATCTCTAACATCTATAAATACAACTTTAAACCTCATTATTCAGGTATGTTTTACACATTCCATTCATAATTTTACACTTGTTTTTCTCCTTTCGCTAACTTAAGCATCGAAGGGGCAACGAGGACACACCTCGATGCTTTTGTTTCAGGTGCCGGAGATTCCGCTTGTGATCATCCTCAATCCTCAAGCTCGAGAATCAACTGGTGATCATCCTCAATCCTCCATCCTTCCCAAATATCGCTTGCACATCATTCACCGCCGACCTCATCATCTACACCTCGAACTTCATGGCCCCACGATGATCTTGAAAGATCCCAGCAAAAAATCAATTAGCAAAATTCGAAAAAAAATGGGTGATTTTGAAACATGCTATTTATAAGAGCAATGTTGCTCTATGCAATTTCATTAAAAGTCATTGAGGAATCCAAAGATGGTATTAAAGAAAGTAATGGTGCATTTCTTTACCCAGCAGAGGTTGAGTTGCTATTCGGTGTTAAGAGATAGAATCTCACATCGAATAAAGATGTAAACATAAACAAACTCATAAAGGATTGTGTTACTCCTCTTAATAAGGTTGACCTTTTAAGATGGAATCACATTTTTAACATGGTATCAGAGACCATTAAGCTCTAACGAGCAATTTGATCCTGTTAATACTCCAAAAAGTGAGCATACGAATTTCAAGATTGGTCTACTCAAACGAGCCACCATCTTGTGGGGGCATGTTAAGGGATAGAATCCCACATCGAATAAAGATGTAAACATAAACCAACTTATAAAGGATTGGGTTACTCTTTTTAATAAGGTTGACATTTTAAGATGGAACCTCAATTCTTAACGATTGG